ATTACTTGACGTCCTATCAATATTGGTATTTATTTACGGTGTCGCTATGTATGTGAATGCATATGTGTTGAGTGAATTCGTTTTGGGGAAGCTGCGAAATGTTCCTGCAGGAATCTTCAAAACGATGCAGAACTGATGCCGATTTTATAGTGCGATCACACTTCAGTTGTACTATACACCCCAACCCGTCATATTACACTGACAACAGGCAAGCCAGTCGTTACACTAAAACAACACTGTTTGTAAAACAGATGGAAAGTAACTTCCATTTCAATGGCTGACCTGGGGACAGAACCACGAATCTTTCCTCGCAACGTCGAGCGCTCAGCAGTTCACGTAGGGCAAAAAAGACCATTGTTAAGAAGGAAGAGAAAGTATTATATTTCAAATGAAATTACCATCTCATATCATGCAAAATAGGCAGCATGTAAATTTACCCCTATCAGAAGAGTATAAATAGATTTGAGAATACAGTTAACGAGGCAGACTCGTGCAGAATTGAACCATTATTTGTTCATACCAGATTCGATAGTGACTTGAAGTTTCCTTTCAATATACATTTGAGAACATTTAAGCCAACTTAACTGTATTGGGTGTTGAAAACAACAGAATTCTAATAATCATTTAAAATCGAGCATAGATATCGATGAACCCAAATCACTTGTGTTTTGATGACGTCATTAATTAAAGTGTACGCTTGAACTTATGACGTCATCTGCAGTGTTTCCTGAATGTAATAAATGCAGTTCAAGTCAAAATAGTAGGATTGGCTGTGTATGTTGTTTTTTATTTAAAAAAGCTAATACTGAAATGTCAGTCGACCAAATCTAAAATGGCATCCTGTTTCACACACTCTCATTATTACATGTTATTTACAATCCTGATCATTCTGCGAACAGTCGTTATTTTACCGTCAGTTATACGGAAATACGGAAGTGTCTTATTGAATCACTTTGCTGTCTTACATCAGTATATTTAATCCTGTCAGCGCACGTGTTGGGTAATATGAAGTGTTATGCATATCGAAAGTACACCGTCACTTTTCCTGTCACCTCGTTTGTTCTATGCAAGTTTTCAACCTCAAGCGTTATGTGATACAGCGTATCTTTCCATTTTGTTTATAACTATCCCTAATTAATCCCATTCCACTATTGAATAATATCAGTTTTTAAAAGAGGGCTTTCTAGAACTAGCCATTCTGTAAGGATGGTATTGCTCATATATTACATGGAGTGTTTGATGCAACATGTTTACTCATATCAGAGACGACCGATTTGGGAATACGAGGTCTGCTGTTTCCAACTAATTTTATATTCTTTCAGAAAGAACTCAATATTTTAAACATTCATTTGTGTACACATGTTCAGTTTTACTAAATGGTGTTATTGGAGATATTAGAAATGCTGGAAGTTTTACTGCTTTCGAACATAGATATCTAAGATCCAAAATTTCAGATCTGTGACATTTACGTTATTTTGATTAGATCTGTAAGGGTCATTACGTATCTTAGTAAGTATAAATGAATATGTAATATTTTTCATATATTTGAATTTTCCAAATATTGTACGTTTGTTCTATTTTAAACTTCATAATATATGCCTTTCATATAATATGTATGTGGAAGCTTACTGTGATATTTGTACATATGTTACAACAGGACCATATTATAAAACAGGCATTTCTAATTATATAACCCTGATTAAAAAGGATATTATTATTGTCTATTTTCTATTATTAGTTTTGTCTAGTTGTAGCGAAATGGTCTATACAGTCGGAGATGTTCATTTTAAACGCCGACAAGATTTAGAATTAAACTTGGATGAATGGTAAGGATAGAACTAATGGCACTGGTTGCTACAATCTTAATTGCATCGTGTACCGTCCTGAAGGAACCATTGTACCTTCGTAAAGACAGATTTATTTATAGTAGAACAATATCGTTATATTTGGTAAAATCAATAACGATGTGTTTAATGTTCGCTGAAATTATTATAATGTTATTCTTTTTAATTTAACCAATTTAACTGAGAAAATGTAAGTGATACTTTTCACGTTTTAGAATATTCTGTTATTCTGAAAATAAAGGACAAATCATATCAAATTATCTATGATATTTCTTAGTTAGGAAGTGGAGTGATAAAGCTTTCGTTAACCAGATGATGAGGTGATTTGGCATTTTCTACTCAGGAGGCGATGTGGGTTTTCTTAACCAGGGAAGTGGGGTGATATAGCTCTTCTTAACCAGGTAATGAGGTGATTTAGCATTTTCTACTCGGGAGGCGATGTGATGTGGCTTTTCGTAACCAGGCATTGAGGTGAGGTAGCATTTCTTAAGAAGGCAGTGAGGTGACAACGCATTTGTTTACCAGGCTCTGAGGGGAGGTGGATTTTCTTAACCAGAAAGTGGGGTGATATAGCGTTTCTTAACAAGACAATGAGGTGAAATTACTTTTCTTAATCAGGCAGTGAGTTGATGACGGTTTTCTTAACCAGGTAATCAGGTCAGATGGCTTTCCTTAAGCAGGCAGTCAGATGATGTAGAGTTTCTTAACCAGGCCTGACGTGAGGTGGATTTTCTTAATCAGGAATTTAAGAGATAAAGCTTTCCTTAACAAGCGCGTGGTGTGATATTACTTTCCATAACCAGGCTGTGAAGTGCTGAAGATTTTCTTAACAAGGCGGTGATGTGGGGTGGCATTTCTTAACGAGGCCGTGAGGTGGGGTGGCATTTCTTAACGAGGCCGTGAGGTAATGCGGCGTTTCTTTAAAAGGGGTTAGAGACGATGTAGCTTTTCTTAACGAGGCAGCGATGTGATGTAGCGTTTTCTAACCAGGCAGTGAGGTGATGTGATGTAGCATTTTCTAACCAGGCAGTGAGGTAATGTGGCTTTTCTTAACCAGACAGTCAGGTATAAAGCTTTGCCTGTTACAAGTCAAAATGCATATTAACGTTGTCAGCAATATTTTGTAATCCCTCTCTCCCTTACTGGTTTCACCGTAACTATAGGGACATGGGTTTCACAAAGACATCCTGGGAACACCTAATTCCAATAGCAATATATGGTAGTGGTAAGTGTATATCATTTGTCAGCCAAACGTAATCTCTCTTGAATATTGAATGAATCTGGGTCAGGCTATTAGATTTGATAAATAAATTTGAGGACATCAAAGCACGAAAATAAGATATGATGTCCTCATATAGTTACGAGGATGAGAGAAGAAAATGTAATTAGTGACCGTAATTGCAAGGACATGTCAATATTCCCACAGTCGTAAAAATGTCCCGAGACCGTGGGTAAAAACCGGGAAAATGTCTACTGTTTTACCCACCAGACCACCTCCCCCCCCCCTCTCTCTCTCTCTCTCTCTCTCTCTCTCTCTCTCTCGGTTCATAGTCTGTTGACTATTATGAAGTTTAATTTTTTTAATGGAATATTAAAAATGCGCCTATTAGAACTTTCACTATACACTCTGAGCCATAAACAGGTAATTTAGAATTCATCATTTCTATTCAAGGTTCAAGGCAAGTGTATTCAAGTCAATCATGTCTGTCTGTACTTGATCTAAGTTAATACGAGATATAATTTACTATACCATTCAAAGTAAGTCTTCTTTATCAAAGTAAACATAAAATATGTTACCATTGCACTTCTCATGGGTTCTGGGCTGTGTCCTCGAAATCAACTATTTATTTATTTATTTTTAGTAATTTATTTTTTGTAATTTATTAGTTAAATATTACAAATTGTGACGAGTTAGAATGGAGAAAGAACGAAGTTTTAAGTGTTTAACGCAGCGTATTTTTTGTCATAAAACAAAAGGGAAATAAAAAAAAATGTGTTCTTCGTGTTAAAATTCACAGAAATATTATAAATTAATGTTTGTGGGAACGTCTATTTCAATAGGTTTTCTTCGATATAAGACTTTCCCATGTTATTTTGTTTTTCTTTTTATCTCTAAATCAATAACACAAGGGTTTGATTTTAGTAAGACTTAGGCTTGGCTTTTCATACACGTAGACTGTTACGGAATGTATTTTATGAATGCAACAAAGACATAGGCGAAATATAATTCTTATCTTATCGATGCTTGTTATACACATCAATAAAGGATTTCAAGTAGTCATGTTCTTTGAAAGAGAGTTGAGTCAGGATGCGTAAAAAAGTGAGGTTTTGTGATTAAAAAGACATGCTCTTGTCCAATCGCGAGAGATAATAAAAACCGCGACGAGTATTTACCAATTAAAATCTGTTAAATTGTCTTTATTGACAGCTTTACTAATATACAAAACTCAAAATAGAACTTAACTCAAGTTTGTTCAATCTTGCGAAAAAAATGTCATTATATGGCATTATGTTTCATGATATTTTTCTATGGAATTATAAACAGGTTTGAAGTATAGTTTAAATGTTATTAAAGAGAAATATATACATGATTTATTAATATACACATTTTAATTCATTGATGATAAAATCTTTATGATTTTCTGTTCAACTTCACCTTAGACATATAAAAGGTAAGTGTAATTCCATGCATACGACACAATACGTAGATGTGGCACCGTGTTGATATAGCGTGGTGTTGACAAGGCTTTCAATCTATGCGCGTGTCCCGGGTAAAAAATACAGTGGTGGGAAACCCGATGACTGTTCGGTAATTCAGTGCATAAACACTTACGAGAAATCGCCACACCGAGATCGCAGGCTTTTGAGGTTCATTCAAGCAATGAAGCAAATGACGTCAGAGGGAAGTGTTTACACTAAACGGCGGGTCACGCGTTCTATAACCAAGAACAAATATCTCTGCGCGGTCAACGCTCGCGCGGAAACACGATGCCCTTATTCGGATAAGTAGTACAACACAATCGGGTGCAGTTTCGTCAAGTAATATCCGATCTGTACAGTATAAATAAAGAGGACCCGAACACAACAGTCATTTACAAACAAAACATTGGCAGGTAGCAGCAGGATTCATAAGAAAATAATACTATAAAGTTTAAACGTCTAGATTTTTGTGACAAATTGAAGTGGAAAAAGTTACCAGTTTAACTATTAATTCATATTTATTAATTTTCTCAAATATGGAGATCATGCGATTCCCATTGGTCATACGTATTTTGATAGTGAGTGGGATACTGCAATCAGCACGTGCCAGATCGACAAGGGACGTAATCGATATTGATGTAAGTAATACCCAACTATATCATATATCGACTATTTTCATAAGTAACAATCGATAAGACGGACTGTTATCATTTTTGGCTTTCCGCGGATTTATAAATAAGGGACCACACACGTGCATTAAGCACTTGCGTGCCATATAAAAATACTTGATATCGAAGTCATATTTTAAATTTCTATGTCATAAATGCCATGGTTTTTTATTTATTTATTATAATATAATCGATCTTTCAGTTTTTCGGTTTCTTTACTTTCATTTTTTTTTAGTTTTGTCTCATTACTAAATAATACCATACTGCATTCAAAACTTACCTAGCAGAAACACACTATTTACATGTTGTATCCGCGTAAACAAAAGATTACAAACCCTTCAGGGAAATTCTCTGTACATAACAAATATCATATCTTGTATTTCTCAAACGTGTTTATTTTAACACTACCAATTTAAATTGTGTGTCATTGTGGTAACAAGGATTGATGGAAATTTAGTCTTCTAATACAGCTTCGATTTTAAGACAAATAACTTAATCTATTCATTAATTACTTTATCTATAATGATTTCTTAATCAAAATAGGCTTACTTGGAAAATTTCGGATACCTGGAGAAAATTGCCGATTCTTCACGTGGTCCAGTCAGCCATGACGAGGCTAGCCGGAGTGAAGCGATCAGGTAATGCAAGAAATATTCGTTGTAAAGCTGTTTAAGAATTTTAATTCATTCTAAATCAGGCTGAAGAGGAAAAAATGTTGTGATGCCGATGCTTTTTCTTCTTCCTAGTTTTAACTTTTCAATTTGTCTTCCATGCACATCTTATATGTCAATTTCAAGTAAAGGGTATGGTGAGCGATAACTTCTCTCGATCATATACCATAACATATTTCTTAATAAGTACCTATACACTACCGGTGTATTCAGCTTCTATAGATATATAGTGGTCTACAAAGTTCTACAGTTTCAAAACAACTAAAATAACAACGTGAGGACTTTTATTTATCTCAGGGACTTCCAGAATTTCAACGGTCTGCAGGTGACTGGTCAAATTAACGATGAAACGTTACATAAAATGAGACAGCCTCGTTGTGGATTTCCTGACAATCTTGTACCAGCTGCGCCTCAAAACCTGGTTCGCCCTCAGGAGTACAATGCTCCAGGTGAGTTTCGTGTAAAAAAATATACTTGACAATATCTTAAGATCAAGATATATTTTTTTTTATTTCAGCCAATAGTGAAATTTATCGATAATTCAGGATCCACATGCATCGTGTGCTGTTATGAGTGCCTTCGAAGACATCGTCTTAATTGAGAAACAATTTTGTTATCAAAAAATCCCCACAAAACACCATTAAGTACACTTAGCTATATCACGTGACATTCAAAATAGCGCTATACTTTTCTGGCGGGTTTTTACACTTAATTATTTGTTTTGATAGGAAACAAATGGAAAAAGAATTCTGTCACGTGGAATGTTCTTAAACACAGCAACCAACTCACCGAGGGAATCCAAAAGTAAGTGTTGTATACAAATTTATAACGTCAATATACATGTATTTTTTTGTATAATCTATCTTGCAAAACGACGACGTCATTTGAGTACGAAACACGATTACATAATTAATGACGTTTGCATTAACGTGACGTGTGCAATAAAACATACAACGTTTGCAAAACCAAATATATTCTATTTTTAGACTCGCCCTTCGCAACGCCTTCAAGTATTGGTCGGACGTTTCCCCACTACAGTTCCGGGAGACAAGCGGAACTCCAGATATCGAAATAAAATTTGAAAGTGGTAACCATGGTGACGGGCGAGCAAATTCTTTCGATGGAAGAGGTTTGTTTATTTTACATTGGTATATATATGCGTAGAAAATTAATTAAGTTCATCGATTTGATTTTAAATCGGTGTAGACATGTAGATCAACACTAGGACTTTACTTGTCAGTCGGTGACTGTATGTGATACACACAAAACATATAGGTAGTTCCGATTGGTCAGAACTGGATGGTCTTGGTATTACTGGTGTTGTCATTGTTTCCTGTAAACCTGTGTGTATGTAACGATCGTCTGTTGAAAATCTTTGTATCGTTTGATCAGGCACGGAAATTCTCTTCCAAATTTCGCTTTCTTTTACTGAAAGTGTTAATATATAGCACGACCACTCATTTTTTTCCGCACGTGTAACATTTCTTTGCTATTTCAGGTGGAGTTTTGGCGCATGCCTTTTTCCCTGGTAACGGTTATCTCGACGGCGACACTCACTTTGACGAGGGTGAGAGATGGGTATACCATTCTAACAGCGGAACGGAACTGGAAACCGTGGCCGCTCACGAATTTGGTCATGCCCTGGGATTAGGTCATTCCAGTAACCCCTCGGCCCTTATGGCTCCTTATTACAGAGGGTATATCCCCGGCCTTCGTCTTCATGACGATGACATCCGAGGAGTTCAGTCACTATATGGTAAGTTTTGATTTAAACATATTTTATTTGTACAAAGTATACAAGCAGGATTGGGCACAAGTTTTCTAACTTATATAAAGACCTTTCCTATGGTAAGTGCTGAAGGGGTTAGACATCCTAATGTTTTCTGAAACCTGAGAACAAAACTACTTTTACTGGAAGTCGCAGAATTGAAAACATACGTAAAATGTAGAGAAATTGTTATGACTTTATCACATAAGTTCCGGTTTCTGATGACCCGTCTACCTGGTGCTTGGTGTGGTATCGCTGGATTAAGCTGGGGCAGAATTGAGTAATCAAATTAATGAAATATTATTTCAGGTGGTCCTTCTAGACAGCAGACGACAGCACCAACTCCAGAAACAACAACAACAACAACAGCAACAACAACAAAAACAACACGATCTACTATGACGCTCAATCCATCAACAAGGTCCATTACCACAACAACACAGGTCCCGAGCTCGACTACATCAAAAAATACTCCTACCGATGACGAGTCTTTGTGCAACATTAATTTTGACGCCATTTCATCCGGTAAATAACTAAATTAATGCTTTCCCAGTGTTATAATAAATGTCCTCTTTCTATAAATTCGTTATAATATAACGCATTCAGGTCTTTAATGATGAATTACATTAATTTCCATAAAAAGGAAAGGATATTTACCGTTTAAATATATTTCATTTGAAAACAATTCAAAGGGAATCGGTCACAAGTTGTCCTTTCCATAATCATAAACATACATTGATATTATTCAAAAGGCAGTAAGTGAGATAAAATATACATTTATATAATTATGTACATTGAATATATATATATTTAAAAACAGCATTGTTATGTATGGGTGAAATTATACGATATGTATGGGTGAACATATACAATATATATGGGCGAAGATATACATTTTAATGTCTTACGCCTTACCATAAAATACATCTTGCATTAAATATCATAACTGCATAAATTATGTTAATAAACTGTAAACATTCATTTCATGAATTACCGCGCAGATTTACACTGTCTATAAACCATTACGGGAAAATGCCCTCTCCCGAAGCAAACGCCTTTCTGAGACACCTTTCATTCATGGTTTTATTAGAGCCAATGAAAAATGACCTTACATTGACGTCCCGTTCTATATCTAATACGTGTTACCCCTTTATCAGCAAACAGCTTGTATCGTGAAAACTTCGATGAAGTAAAAACGGTTTCCTTCATTCAGTACCATTGGCTAGTCTTATTCTTAGATTTGATATAATAATCATTCTTTACAAAACTATCTGACGTTATTGTCATAAAATATATTCTCTATCTTAATCTTTGTTTGGGATAGGTCCAGATGGCGCTACCTACGTCTTCCGGAACCAGTTAGTTTACAAGGTTACCGCTAGGGGACTGGCTGCAGGGTTTCCGCGTTTTATTCGAGAAGTGTATCCCGACTCGCCCAGATATGTGAAAGCAGCCGTTTATCTAAAGAGCACAGGCGAAACATTTCTCTTCAGTAATCGTAAGTAATCATGCGTTCACGTTCACGAAACTAACTATCATAAAATCATTTTCGAATTTTTCCGTACTTAAAGTCGTCATGATGTTTAAAATTTTTGCTCCATTTAAAATGACAGAAATGATGACATACAAGTGAAACCGGTATATCAAAAAGTCATCAACAACCAACATTATGTTGTAATGCCGTGACGTCATATATACGTCTGGTTTTATATCAAGTTTACTTTCTTTCAGATGGTAAAGTATGGCGTTATCTAGGTTTTAACCTTCAGGACGTAAAGCAAATGGACAGCATCACCTTCCGGTCAGCTATCGCCGTGACCACCCGTCGTAATGGAAAACAACAAATCTATCTTTTCGGGGTAAGTTTGAAGAAAAACGACAAATTCTATTAGAATTCGATGCGTCTGTATTTTAATCAGGAAACGTTTACGAATAAGAGCAGAATATTGAAAAGATCAGGTGTTATCGAGAAATCTCAACCGTAACAGAATTGTAGTGTAAGTACATGTATTTTGGAATGTTTTCAGACCAGGAACTTCTGGGGATTCAACTCCCGTATAATGAACGTATCAAGAAGGTCGGGCTATCCTCTTCCCATTAATATGTACTGGGGAATGTTTCCTCGTTATTCTACTGCAGCAATGGAGTGGAAAGACGGACACATGTATTTTTTCAAGAAGCGAAGGTAAGTACGATTCATACTCAGGATTGCTTCTTATTAAGCTCACAGAGAATTTAAGGAAGGACTAACATTGAGATTGGTATTGAATTGACAGGATTAAAGTAAATTGTTGTTTTGCGTTAGTCAGTAAATGCAAGGGGAGGTTACTTCACTATATTTGTTTGGTTAGTTCTTGGTTATTTTTAAAGATATTATTGTTTAATCATAAGTTTATTAACCATTAATCAGAACTATAAAATGTCAACGTTCTTTTAATCTAGTCGCCATATTTTCAGTTATGTTCGTGTGAGTCCGAAAACCCGAAATGTGGTACCAGGACACCCAGGAGAGAACGCCGCGTCTTGGTTGAAATCATTGTGCTTAGAACCCAATCAATAGGACTGTTGCTTCTTAAGATCGGGACTACATCAATACTCGGACAATGGTCATGAACATCAAGCAATGATCCGCATATCTCAGTGCATGGAAGAATGTATGACATATCTGTGAGCACGACCGTGGATGCACGTCTCATTCGAAGTTTCCGAATCCGAACTCTCGTATCCCGCAAAGGAGCTGCATGTTGTATGATTATCCCCATGTTTCTAAGTACAGTATGTACACTGAAGATGTGAAATATTTAAAAACATCAACAAATAGATGAGAAAAAATAACAAAAAACAAAAATGAAATGTCGAAAAACTTGCTTAAATACGATGTGAAACAAACAAGCTTAAAGCACCATGTGTCTCACAAAATAACACATGGTAAGGTATGTATTGCGCTGAAAATACAAATACAGTTCTCCAAAAAAATGCTTATTTTTTTGGCACAAATGCATTCTCCTTGACAATACTGCCCATTCTATATTTAACAAATTCTTGTCTTACACGACAATTGCACAAGAAGAGCCAAAATAAACATGCTTTAGCAGACATTTTAAAAGTTTCGCGCCATAAATATATGGATATATCTTGTTCACAAATCATCCACGTGCTCAACTTGTACAGCAATTATTTCATGTCTCACGAAGACCCGTCCTAATCAGCGCATTGTTCCATATCACTTACCTCCGTGTGAGTGACGTATATTTACCAAGTATAATATTCGGGGCACATATTGGGACTTCCTCAGTACAACAAGGGCTTATTTATTGCTAGTTAATTGGCTTAGGTAATTAAGGGTGTATCTATGCTATGTTGAACAACAAAATGTCTCTCCGCCTCTATGTTGATTGTTTGTGTGGGTAGAAGGTATGTAAGTTATATATTTATTTTGTGTCATTATTTAATGAGAATTTGAAAGTGTGAAATGAAGTAGAGAAATTGAGAGTGACAGCAATCTTCGATAAAAGAAAAATAAATTGTGTTTATACCGAATTTCTTTCTTTCAAGTTATTATTTCGATCTCAACTTGACGGAAAGTACACAGTTACACGGACTTCCATGATTTCGAGAATCTCTCTGTGTTCTTAATATTGTGTGGTTTTCCTCAGACAAACGACTTAATTAGTTACTGTTTAAATCATAGACTGTCAGGAATCACGTGACTTCAATTTGGCGAGCGCCATGAAATATAGATGGCGGAATCCGTGTTGTAACCAAAGGTTTGTGATACTTTTCTTGGGTACCTTACACTATGCCGTTCACCCTAGGTACGCTGTGACAAAATCACTGGTATCTTATATCGGTCTGTAAGTGTCACAGGTTTTGAGAACTTTTTGACCAAAAGATCAAAATCTTGTGTCGAGCATATTTTCCAAGGGTCATTTTCATGAACGATATATCAATTAACATACCTCTAATTACACAGCATACATTTATAACTGTAGTTCAGTTGTGTGGTTTTTACTCAATTTTGTGAAAGTAATCGCGTACTTGCATTAGTTTTCAATACATTTTCAACTTTCGATGGTAATTTATCATAATGGAAAGAGTGATGAACTGTTACACTGTCGTGAATTTGAAGACATCAAATATATAATATAGTTATTGTGTGAGCGTAATACTTCAAATCTGTAATAGTTTCCAGGTAAACATTGGCTCGAACGAATGTTTTATAAATAAAGATTCTGAAAAGGAACCAAAAGACAATCTTAAGGTCTGTCAAAACCATCTCCCATGCGTATATCTCGATCATATATTGTAAAGATGGCTGAGAGAAAAATCTTCAACTTAAAAATTTGTTTGTATAGCCTCTCCTGTTGATATTGCCAATGTGTATCTCAGTAAGTAATATTTTTCATATCTGATAATTTAAATCAATTAAAAAGACATTAATTATGCAATTTTGTGCTGATTTTCATTTCATTTACCAGTCTTTGATGCACAACTTGCACAGATTCTCAGTCTTAGTTAAGCAACTCATTAATATCATTCTCTATTATGTTTTATAAATGGATCAACCATAAAAATAAGAAAACGACGGAAACTCCCGAATGGTATATTCCGATTGATATCGAAAAGTGACGGAAATCAGCGAGTACTAGAAGGACAAGACAGCTGTCTGGTGTAGCATCACTGACCAGTCTTAGAAGGACGAGACAGCTGTTTGATGTAGAATCACTGACGAGTCCTAAAAAGACGAAAGAGCTGTATGATGTAGCATCACTGAAGAGACAGCTGTATGATGTAGAATCACTGGCGAGTCCTAGAAGGATGAAACAGCTGTATGATGTAGCATCACTGACGAGCCATAGAAGGGAAGGACGAGACAGCTGTTTGATGTAGAATCACTGACGAGTCCTAAAAAGACGAAAGAGCTGTATGATGTAGAAACACTGACGAGTCCTAGAAGGACGAGACAGCTGTATGATGAAGCATCACTGACGAGCCATAGAAGGACGTAGCAGCTGTATGATGTAGCATCACTGACGAGTCCTAGAAGGATGAAACAGCTGTATGATGTAGCATCACTGACGAGCCATAGAAGGGAAGGACGAGACAGCTATATGATGTAGAATCACTGACGAGTCCTAGAAGGATGAAACAGCTGTATGATGTAGCATCACTGACGAGCCATAGAAGGGAAGGACGAGACAGCTGTATGATGTAGAATCACTGACGAGTCCTAGAAGGATGAAACAGCTGTATGATGAAACATTACTGACGAGTTCTTGAAGGACGAAATTGTTATTTTAAGCAGTTTATATATATTGTTCTACTGTGTTTCATTCTTAATCCTGATATAAAGCTGATAACTCGTGTCATAGTTTCAATGTTTAGGCCTTTAGCTTCACAAACTGACGAGTCCTAGAAGACAGCTGTATGATGCTGTTTTTATCATTTGGCTTTATTCACTTTATGTGATATACATGATCGTGCGACTCAATTTTCGCGGGTTGATAAAAAGCTATCACATGTACGTATGATTTCCTGGATAAATATTACCCAATATGCCTACTGAGATTGATTTTAACAGTTCGTGGACACCTGGTTGATTAAGAGCACCAACGAAAATGGCGAAAATAAAACGCCCTACGGAAATTAAATATTTCACAGTATGTGTATTTTATACAGCCTGCAATTTATATTGTTTGAGTAAACCTGCATACGTGCTATCTAGAGCATGCGTCGAGTGTATAGGATCCTGGACACATATGGATATCATAAATACCGTGTTTAACTTTACTTTAAGTCTGTGATGGATCTTCAATCTACTTCTCATTGTGCTTTTTCAGGAGTCTCCGTGTAAATCTTTCTTTTGCCCCCCCCCCCTTCACCCTCCTCCTTCCTCTAGTTTTATTGAATATGAGTTTGGATTAAGGTTTATGTTGACATGCTGGTATTTTCTTACTTTTGTTACCTGATGGTATTTACTGTAAGTAAAACTCTAATTGTTATCATTTTAAACATGTACTTTTTCAGTGAGAAATATAAATAGGTCCACGCATGAAAGTCAATAAAAAAAAAACAAAAACAAAAAAACATTCAGCTCATACATATGTACAAGTATCGCATATTATAGGCTGCAAGGACTATGAAAACACGATCCAGCGGCGCTTACCTGCGTGTCCGGGAATATCTTCGTGTTTAATCACTGCGCTGTTACGTTATTTAAATTCTCTCTCTTCACAGCTGTTATCTAATCTTGTCTACCCATGTCCAAGTCACTCCACTGCACTAGCTAGTGTTGAAATTAAAATGTGCACGTCTATAGGTATTTATTTTTTATTTTCAAACAAATACAAAACAAGATCAAGCTATCCTAAACACACCATGGGTTCAATTCAAACCATATAAGTACTATCAAATCAGTTTTGTTACAATCTGTACGTTTTTAAGATTCCAAAAGACATTTTGAATACCCTTCCTGAAAATTATGTCCTCTATAAAAACATCAGATTTTCCTTTATCATACCCAAAATGTAGGAATACATGGGTTTTTTTTCTTAGAAATGTCAACAACGGTATATATATATAGTGAAAAAAATCAGCATTTAGTAGAAAATTATCGATCAGCTGTATAAGAAAAGTATTTCACGTATTCGTCTAAGTTCTCATCAGCTTAATATTGAAAGTGGAAGATACAATAATGCAGAAAGGGGCAATGGAGTTTGTACATTATGTCATACTAATGATATTGGGGACGAGATTCACTTTATACTTAAGTGTCCTATTTGTGCAGATTTATGGGTGAGACACCTGAAGCCAAATTACTTTCGTCGTCCCGGTGTATTTTTAACTTGTTCAATCGCTCGGTGTTAGTAATGTAAAATATTTGTGTAATCTTGGTAAATATATCGGATTTGCTATGTAAAAAGCGCTCTCGGTTAGTAATATCACTTCCTTGTGTTTGTTTGTGGACAATATGATAATATATAGCCACTCTCCTGCACAGCATTACTCTGTTTAAAATGTAAATATGTATCAATATTGTGTATTGTAACTTGTAAGTCTTATGGCTTACAGAGTGAACTAACTGAACTGATCATGTCTTGTCTTAACATAACTGAAATTAACCAACCGTGTCTTTTGTAAACACGATAACGTCTTTTGCGAGGGTCGTTCAAGGCTTGGTACTGCATGGCTGCATATCACATCCATGACCAGGAAGTGACATCCAGCTGTAGATGAATTTGAATTACACGTCTAGATATTAAAAATCGATTTGCTTTACTTATAAATCGATAACAAACACGCTCTGAGTTGTGTGGTATACTTGACACTTCTCTCGTCTGTTTTAGAAATATTTCTGGGAGGGGGATCAGTTTGAAAAAGAAAACAAGACCAGGTAGGCCAGTCGAACGTTGAAAAGTCATATTGCTCGTATGGTTGGAATTTCAAAAGACAGCACACATGAAAAACAATGCCATGTTTAATATTTTATACTGATCCAAGATGATGTTTGCGAACCTAATATATTTGCTTTGTGTATTGAATGACAGTAGACTACGCTTTAACCAGCATATACATCTTTAAAAATCGTCTTTCAACGAAATTGGATTTCACACCATCAAAATAAGTAAGACACGTCTTTATAAATAATTTTTCGTTATTTGTACGCAAAATGCTGCTTTCTGACACGTCCATTTTTTCTTTTCGTTTCTCGATGAAAAAAGAACATCTAGTTACGCTGACTTGATAGTGATTGGAGGAATCAATGGCAACACGCCACCTTGCGGCGGTCTGGGATCAATGGCAACACGCTACCTTGCGGCGGTCTGGGTTCAATGGCAACACGCTACCTTGCGGCGGGTCTGGGATCAATGGCAACACGCCACCCTGCGGCGGTTTGGATTCAAAGGCAACACGCTACCTTGCGGCGGGTCTGTTGGAACTTTTTTTTTTTGCAACATTCACCTGTTGTGTTGATCGATGCCATTCAACGATGTAAAAAAACCCACCTATAATAGAATATTCAAGTATCTTACATAAACGAATCAATGGCGGATCTATCAGTGGGTGGATATGTTATTTTATACGTTTATACGGTTCCGTTTGGAATCTTGAATGACTGAAAATGGCGCGAATTAGCTTTCGATGACGTCACGTAATGTCACGCAAGCGTAGTGATTTGATGTAAATTTATCCGTCAATGAATTAACAAAGTTATACACTACGTTATATTCTGTTTTTGAAACTTATCTTAAAAATTAATTTCAAGCTTACGCGGATTCATTATAAATTTACAAAAGGATTTTCTTTCACACCAGCATGAAATTGAAAAAACATTGCAATCAAAGCTTAAAAACAGTCAACAAATATGTGTATCTCCACAACATTACATGTATCAAACAGCTTGAAAAAAAGTATTTACCACCTGTAGAAGCAAGTTAGGTTGAATATTTATCAACTGTTTCCCCTAAAGATTAAAGCAGCTTAATGTACGATGGTCCATATCAGCCATGAAAAAAATATACCCGGTATCATGGTTGCTGACAACATATTGTTAAAACTATGAAAATAACACCAACCCTATTTTGACATGTCGGATATGATAACTTAATTTACTATGTACAATTATAGTTGGATTTTGACACTGGCTCAGTGAAAACTAAGCCAATCTATAAATTGCGAAAAGACTTTTCGATGGCGAACAGAGTGAGTCCTTCGAGATATATCCAAGAATGTTTCTCCAAAACACGTTTTATCGTCTCCAAGTGATGCTGCATTACCGAAGTCACATAAAGCACGATATTTTCTTCACAAGAGCTCAATATTCTTGCTATTTGCATATGGACATGCTGAGAGATAATGCTCTCATCAGCCCTTTCACCAAACAGGTTGATGTACAGAACGGTAGTAGTATTGCATCGCCATGTAGAAGTAATAGACATGAAATTGACACCATCAGTATCCCTCCGCCTGCTCACAAGAATTTGATCGCTACAACACATTATACGATCAATGTTGGACGTCACCAAATCATACGGCGTTCCTCTTATAACTATTCTGTTTCCAGGAAACATGACCGATGTGGTTTTCGGATCAAGAAAGAGATTCTTCATGAAATCTGAATCCGCTCTCTTCAAACAAGACGTTTCTCCCCTAGTAGAACACTGACCATACAGAGACTGCCTTGATGCCGAAAACGCCAAACGCTCCTGGGATGGAATTTATTTGAAAATGGCATATACATTTTTTAAAAGATAGAATACATAATTCGTACGATTTTCAACACTCTTTTCAGTGAATGGGTTAAAGCATCAGCTATTTTTTATCATATTTCTATCACGTGGTTAATGCGATTTTACTATTGGGTTATCCCGCATGTCATTTTTCGGTAATAAATCAAACATTGCCTTGTTATGCTGCGTATCTATTACTCTATATGGAAAGAAATTGTCACGTCTATCACATGTTTATTTAAGTAGAGAAGATCTACACAGATATAATATTAAAAAATCGACAAATCAATCATCAATTTAAAAAAAAAATAACACACAAGATATAGATTACATACCACAGGAAATCGAAACAAAAAAATATATCACCCACCACAGGAAAGATATTACACACAAGGGGAAAGATATCACACACCCCAGGAAAGATATCACCCACCACAGGAAAGATATTACACACCAGGGGAATGATATCACACACCACAGAAAAGATATTACACACCAGAGGACAGATATCACACACCAGGGGAAAGATATCATACACCAGGGGAAAGATATCACACACCACAGGAAAGATATTACACACCAACGGAGAGATATCACACACCAGAGGAAAGATATTACACACCACAGAAAAGATATCACACACCGGGGAAAGATATCACACCAGGGGAAAGATATCACACACCAGGGGAAAGATAACACACACCAGGGGAAAGATATCACACACCAGGGGAAAGATATCACACACCAGGGGAATGATATCACACACCAGGGGAAAGATATCACACACCAGGGGAAAGATATCACACACCAGGGGAAAGATATCACACACCAGGGGAAAGATCACACACCAGGGGAAAGATATCACACACCAGGGGAATGATATCACACACCAGGGGAATGATATCACACACCAGGGGAAATATATTACACATCAGAGGTAGAGGAAATGGATGAAACATTAATTCTCTCTTTTTTTACCAGAAAATACATTTGCGTTAGATTTTGATAAGTTGTCAAATTTCATATTATATGGAAACGGAGACCCATGTGTTAATCTTTGTGGATTTTAACACCAAAGAATTTTATGTTATCGTCAAAATGTATCATAGAGGTGACCTACCATTTTACACAAAAGCTGTACATTCTTCTCAATAAGACAGTTGTAGGTATTTTGTGACGATATTACGATCACACTTTTAGTAGCCGTTTTAGACAGATTCATCAAGCAATGCTCTTTCATCTCTGAAGTGATTCCTTGACCTTCATATCCCCTTTTCACTCTTCCAGACTGCATGGCAATGGTACGTCCATCATCAATTACAGCACCGAATAAGAAAGCGACCTACAATATCGTGAAATGGATGTGGCATTTTAGTCACAAATTACAGATAAAGTCTCAGCTCTTCATTCACTTTTCAGAGTTATGGCCCTTTGAATGAAAAAACGCACACAATAATCATCTTTATTCATATTTGAACAAATGTTCTTATTTTTTTTATTTCCATATATATCTATTTGGATGTTGGTCTGTTTAGACAGGCTATTGCCGAAGAATGCAAAAAAATTCTGAACGGTTTGGGGACTGGTCAGAATTTTGGAGCATGCAATAATGATCCTCTTATGGACAGTATGATGCATTGCAAACAAATCCTATTGCAATCAGCATTTTGCTTTGTACTGTTACTGCTATTAATAAACCATGACCCGTATTACTTAGGATACATTATCTTAGTTTGCTAGTGTTTTCCGTTCTAAGTCTGAGCTGCCAACCTCTAGTCATCTAAAATCTGACCAAAGGCCTTTAAAATGAAGGATGAATGGTGTGAGCTAAATGCATATAAAGGAATAAGACCTACTGTGTTCAATACGAAGATGTTCTATATTATGTATGAACATAATTTTGACTATTTACGATTCAAAAAATCAATTTTTAATCTTTTTAAATACTAATCAAATGTTAAGAAATACCAGGTGATCCTTACTATTTTTTCAGAATTTAATCATTATCAACATCAGGTTGGTGGTACGATATCAGGTGTCATGGCTACCTAAATGGGCGCTGTTCAAGTATGAATCTTCAAATTGTGGAATCATTAAATATTTAGTGGTATCATTAAATACGTATTGATATAAGTAAATGTTTAGTTACGTTTATTGATATCATTATTTCGAGTTATTGATATCAATAATTTGTGAAATCCCATTTTGTAGATAAATGCTAAACCGGCGCCATTTGATCGTACCAGACACGCTCGAAAGCTTTGAATTTTTACAAGTCATGCATGATATTTCATTCTTCCTGTATAAATTTAAAATAAACGTCAATGTCTGCAACTATCTTGGGATGTGGGTACCATGTGGTATGATCATTATACCACAGTAACACTACAGATAGAACACTGTATATTTCAATAATTCCCTTCTAGTATAACTCGACCAATAAATATCCATTCTTTTGTTTTATTTGATGACAAGAATTCGAGTAAATTTGATTTTTTTCTGGTTTTATAAATTTCAACTGTAAGTGAAAACAGTCAGATTTCTGGCAAAATGTTCAGTTGACACCTGCTTACCGTACCGAATGTATAGCTTGGCAGACACAAGAGTTGACAAGATAGTTATATCACATTTGAAGCTAAACAGACATTTACCAGAGACTGTTCTGTACTATGTATAGGCTAATGCTATCGAAAAGCTTCATAATTCTCTTACAATGACAGGTCTATGCATGTATGGCATTATGTAGGGAAAGTAAAAACCAACGGGTAAATCAGCCAGTTAAGCGTAATACAAGAAGTCTTCACTCCCATTTGTATCAATACAACATTTCACTGGTCCTAGTACATCAGTTTCTTGTTGGTCGTTAAACAATTTTGTACTAGTGATGAAATTCACTCCTCCATACAGTGCCTTAGTATTATTTGTATTTAACCACATTTTCTGATGATGATGATGATGATGATGATGATGATGATGATGATGATGACGATGATGATAATGATGATGATGATGGCGATGATGATGAGGAAGCCACAATATTAGAAACAAACTAAAGACTTTAAACATTAAATGTAAAAAAAAAATTTGGTAAATACTGTAATATCATATCTTTTTGTGGTGCTCAAATTTCATAGTTTTCCAAAATTACATTTTAGTTGGCACTTGATTTCACGGATAAATCTTGCTCACAATATCCATCAGTACTATGATCCAAGTCAGCTCTCTATCTGATTATCATTTCGGGGATTTAGATTACCCATAACTTCGACGAAAATAAATCCCCATGAGGATTAATGATTTTACAGTAGGGTTTTTATTGAATTGAATCACGGTATAATACTCCGCAGCTGCAATGGACGTGCTCTGACCACCCCTCGTTTGCCTTGGAATATCACAAACATGTGCCGATCGTAAAAACATATTAACAAAGAGTTTTGGGAGAAACAGTGACCTACATTACTGGAAATGTTTACCAGAATACAAAATCTAAAATATTTCAGTAAAATAAAGTTTAAAATTTACCAAATTGCTATCGATAAAACCACCGTATCCCGTGTTGTATTTCAGCAACTCGTGGTACGTCCCCGGAATGTAATCAAATCCTCTATTGATATCATCTCTTATGGACACAACTCCATCGTAATCATCTGCTGTGGTAGGCCGTATCCTTAGACATCCCTTTCGGTCCCCTCCGTGTAATGTACGTAAGGATATCACGAATGTCCTCGATAGTTGCGCCACGACTCTGCTGTAAGTAACACGCGATAGCATAGCCATTTCAGATTATCAACCAGTGAGACTTTGTACTTGGCAACCATGCATTAATTCAGGCAACGTACAGACATTTACAGTTTGTTTTATATGAAATCACAGGCGTGTCTGCATACGTATGTGTATATGGACTCACTTATTACATAATACAAAATACAAAAGGCTACCTATTTCAGGATGTTGTTGTATGACTCATAGCCAATGCATAATACAAATAGAAGTATATGTAATGGAAAACGAAAATAGACATTGTCATATGCAAGCTTGAAACGGTTGTATCTCTGCAAAACGCAACGAAGACAAAATTATTCCTACCACACCGATACGTGAGGAATGCTCAGTTACGATCAAATTCCCATACCGTTTTATAAATCAAGTTCTGGGAAGTTTGGAATTTCCTCTGTTTAAGAACTATCAAAATGCTACGGTCAGCCAACACCGTTTCACTTATTACATCATTCCAGTAACAATGTTACTGGTCCCTCAACCCCTCCATTTTACTCGCTCTTCTTAACCCTACCAAAATCACCCAACCAGGAATAATAAATTTTGGGTCGAATCCATTTGTCTCCAGGGAGCAATCTTCAGTCTCACTTATACTCCGTGTTTTCCTATTTCTGTAGGGTACCTTAACTGCTTCCATTTGTGAAGGGTACTTGAATCATCTTTATCTGTGTGTTTGCAGTTTTTTTTATCAATTGGACTAATTCAGCCCCGTACGTGCGACGCACGAGCTGGAAACAAAGCTTGATACAGTCTTATCTGGTGTTAGCTTTCGTGTTTGTTCACTGAACCATCCAGTCATAGAAGCCCTCTCTCTTCTCAGATGATACTTACCTTGTCTATTTTTGCACCACTCTCTTCCAGCCTGTACAACTGTAGTGTTGACTGACCAGAGCCATTGTTGATCAGTGAAGGGATGCTCACAATGCTCTTGCAAAAGCTCACTTGCTCTTTGGCTTGGTGAGCTTAACACTGGCACAACCTGTTGGGGAACCTTAATATGAACAAAAGACCCAGGATCACTTTGAAATGACTTTATTCACCTATTTACATAATATGAATAATTATTACAGATTATTTCAGATTTGATCGAAAGAAAAAGCTGCCTTATAATCTTAACACATTATTGGTGTGTTTGCACAGTAAATAATAGGATGTCTGTTATACATTAACACAAACATCTTAATAGCATACACCTGTTCAGGTGTATTCGTCATGCATAAACTAACACAAGCCATTCCATCTTGACACCAAGGCAACATCCTTGATACCTGGAGAACTATACCCATCATTACATACATACAGACATGAGGTGTTTATGATCAATGAGAAAGGGAACACATCAGGCTAGTGCACTATTGCGTCCTTCATTTTTTTATCACCGAATTGGCTTTTTATCTGATGATTTCACCCATGTGAGATTATTGCATATGTAATTACTGTACATTTAATATACCCTTAAGCCTTTTTCATTGGCTACGCCAGTCAGAAATCATTCTGAAGTCATATGGACAATGCCATGAATTGAAAGTGCCATAACACATTGGTTGCCCCCATTTGATTTTGTCTTCCATATTTTGATTTTAAAATCTGTCAAAACTTAACTTGATATGATATGAAAACTCATTTCTGATCCTACATGTAAGAAACAAGAGTAACTCCAATGTAGCATTAGAATGCACTATGCATTACTGGTAGTTTGAATTTTTCAATAAAGACAATAATTTTTTTGGTCTTGTGATAGTTTGAACCCTTTCCATTCTGGTTTCACTACAATTAACATCATTCCAACACATTGAGTGATTGTACATAGGTTTAACTATTGATAAGGATTCTGATGTCACTATAATCTTTACTGGCATTGATGGTACACACTGCTGTAAGAGGTTTGTAAATAACCGATTCCAACAGTTATGCACATACAAGTCACTTAATTAACATTGATTCAGTGTAATTTTCAAAATCTCTTGTCGCTGTTGCAAAAGAATGCTGACACATAACAAGTGATCGAAAGCATGCAATGACAGCATGAATATTGTCAAAGGGTTGATATTTCACTGTACATCTAAACATGATTTGACAGGCCAACAAGGTTTCTTCAACATGATGACTGACAAAATAAATCTAGCAGTTTTGCAGCAATTGATTTACATATAAATTATTATCATATTATAACTGACACATTAATTCTCTTAACTGGCACTTGTCTTAATGATAGAGTTTCCTGCCTTCCTCGCATGTTTTTAAACACTTTATTGTGATTTTGGATAATGTTGACTGAAAGTTTGAAGTTTATTTTCACCAAAATTATTTTGTGTAATTTTAACTGATTCTGACGGACCAGATGCTTACTCCTAGTATTTTAACTGTTATTTCTTCTATACAGGTGGGGGCCAAGTCCTTCATTTTTTTTTTTTTTTTTTAAATATTGTAGTTTTCAAATTAATTATCTGAAAACTTAACCCTTCAACTTGTGTTTCTAACTACAATTAATAAATCAGAAATATACAGCCTGAATATTTAGAATTTTACCGTTGAAATCACTAAATCAAATCCTTGACTAGGGTTTATGTGTTATTGAAATAGTCCCCAGAACAACTCAGGGGAAAGATCCTCTCTTAATTTTCATCAAACTTGCTATCATCACATCATTAAAACAAAGTACTCAGATTAATGCTGCGTGAATTTAAAGCATTTCTAAGTGTACTATTTCATTTTCCCCTTCCTAGATTGCTACATTTGAATGTTGACCACAGTACAAAATAACTTGACACACAATAACTTACACTGAATGATTCATGTAACCATTACAACACCAAAACACTTGGATACGAATCATACCAATCACATGTATGGGTCATGAATGAAACAATGATGAACTTCAACCGACACATAACTCTGCTCAGTAGCCACATTGTCAAGAATCTGTGCTAGACAAGACTTTCCATCACATTGATAACAAGTGTTCCATATCCTCACAATCTTTACGAGACAAGATCACAATTTGAGCATGTCAACTGTTGACCAATGTTTCTCGCTGTCCACCTTTCTAAAGATTGGAAAGCTAATCCACAATTCCGCTTTTATGCAACAATAAATATTATGAGCAGGCAGTGACTAAACTTTAAATGTTTTGAATCCTATCAGATATAACTGAATCTCTGCCGGCCAAAAGATCTGGCTGTAGATTCTGCAATAGGTTCACAGATATATAGTCACAATTTTCTCTGTAAAAAAGTTCTTGTGACTTAATTTTAAATTAATGTTTTGGAGGATTTCTAGTTCTCATGGCATAGGGTCCTTTGGATCCAGCTGCAGCTGCAGCAGCTGCTGCGGCAGCCTGTTGTTGTGGTGACTGTGTTACATTTACAAGCCCCTGAGCTGTGCCTTGTGGCAGAGCCTGCACAGCTGCTGCTGCGGCCTGTGCTGTTACTGCTCCAACTGGCAACAGAGTCTGCTGGGCAGCAACATTGGCTGTTGACTGTGGTATAGTGGTCACCTGAATCTGTGTTGTAGCCTGGGGACCTGATGGGGCTTCCTGCTGAACTGGGGCTGGTATCGTCTGTAATATAGTTGCTGTGAGGGCAGGTGACTGGCTAGATGGAGCCACTGTTACAGTGAGTGGCTGTGGAATGGCAGGTGTTGCAACAGTGGTATGTACCTGTTGTATAGTAGCCGGTGTGACCTGAATTTGTTGTATAGTCTGGGAAGTGGCTGTTGACTGAGAGATGGCTGCAATCTTTGCCTGTTGTGGAGCTACTGAATGGACCTGAACTGCCTGTCGGGGGTCTGTTGAGAGAGTAGACACCACAGTAGGTTTGGTGGCCTGTGATGATGCTGTTGCCAGACTAAGGGTAGCTACAGACATTTGTGGTGTTCCAGTCACGATTGTTGCATGGGTGACCGGATGGTGAGATGCGGCTGTGATGGTCTGGAGGTGACTGGACTGGGTGGCTGATGTACTTAAAACTTTCTGCACTAGTTGACCCTGTTGGCCTTGCGTCACTGTGGCAATGATGGTGGGGGGCTGTGAGGTTATTATCACGCCACTGCCTGGGTTTCGTTTCACCAGCTGTTGTAACTGGTAAGTGACATTTTGACCAGTGGATGGCTGCTGGATTATCTGCACAGCATTAAGGGGCACTGGTTTACCCACTTGTCCAAGGGCTACAACACAAGAGAAGTCATCACATTAATCTATGGCACATAACCATTTTTACATACTAACACTAGTCATTGTCCAACCGTAAATAATATGTTCTAAATACAGACTGCATAAGACATTATAATAATATCATCTAAGAGTAATGCAGTCGCCATGATTGAGATGTATACAGCAGACACAGTCATGGTTATATTCAGATGGTAATATACCTACATGTAATTTTAGATGGCTGCTGCAGAGGACGTTTCTGCTGACCTATCAGCTGCATCTGTTTCAGTTGTGCTGGCTGGAGTTGGTTAATGGTGGTGGCTTTAGCTTGAAAGCAAAAGTATACCAATCTTAACAGTGTAATGAAGAAAGTAATAGTATACCACTCTTAACAGTGTAATGCAGAAAGTAATAGTATACCACTCTTAACAGTGTTATGAAGAAAGTAATAGTATATCTTAACAGTGTAATGAAGAAAGCAATAGTATATCACTCTTAACAGAGTTAAGATATCAGTTAAGATAAGTTAAGACAATTAAGACATAATTTCTTGAAATCAACAATGATTTTGTAACTCAGTGAGAATGTGCAAACAGCAGAACATCAAGAGATTTCACATTAAATCAGTACAATCCTTCATTCTAACTTTTAATTGGTCAATGATAAATCTGCTTATCTAGCCCAGAAAATGACTTGATGACCCGTAAATGTTGTGAAATGTCAGTAACAAAAGTACAACCCCCAAAAGCAAATTTTAAATATATTGTGTAACACCAGCGTTAAGTTATCTGGGTTTTTCTTGTTTAAATTTCCATTAAATTGAACAGGATAACCCTACTGTGTTGAGTAATTTCTTTCAGCAAGGACAAGAGAATCAAAGTTTCTTGGCAGAAGAACTTACCCACTCCAGCCTTCTGTTGGGGAAGCTGTGTGATCTGAATGGGTGTTCCAGCAGCTGAAGTTTTTACAGCAGTGGTTAGTGTGGCAGGCTGTCCAACCTGATGGACTTGGGCCTGTATTATCTGGGTTGTAGGGATCTGTAAAATATATACCAATCATTGAAGTTATGTAGCACCATTTACATAGCCACTAATGTAGAACTGAATCTGTATACCTAACAAATATCAAGCTGAATCTAAATACCCCACCAATGTAGAACTGAACCTGTATACCTCACCAATGTAGAACTGAATCTGTATACCTCACCAATGTAGAACTGAATCTATATACCTCACCAATGTAGAACTGAACCTGTATACCTCACCAATGTAGAACTGAATCTATATACCTCACCAATGTAGAACTGAACCTGTATACCTCACCAATGTAGAACTGTAGAACTGAATCTATATACCTCACCAATGTAGAACTGAATCTGTATACCTCACCAATGTAGAACTGAATCTATATACCTCGCCAATGTAGAACTGAATCTATATACCTCACCAATGTAGAACTGAGCCTGTATACCTCACCAATGTAGAACTGAATCTATATACCTCACCAATGTAGAACTGAACCTGTATACCTCACCAATGTAGAACTGAATCTATATACCTCACCAATGTAGAACTGAACCTGTATACCTCACCAATGTAGAACTGAATCTATATACCTCGCCAATGTAGAACTGAACCTGTATACCTCACCAATGTAGAACTGAATCTATATACCTCACCAATGTAGAACTGAATCTATATACCTCGCCAATGTAGAACTGAATCTATATACCTCACCAATGTAGAACTGAATCTGTATACCTCACCAATGTAGAACTGAACCTGCATACCTCACCAATGTAGAACTGAATCTATATACCTCGCCAATGTAGAACTGAACCTGTATACCTCACCAATGTAGAACTGAGCCTGTATACCTCACCAATGTAGAACTGAACCTGTATACCTCACCAATGTAGAACTGAACCTGTATACCTCACCAATGTAGAACTGAATCTATATACCTCGCCAATGTAGAACTGAATCTATATACCTCACCAATGTAGAACTGAATCTGTATACCTCACCAATGTAGAACTGAACCTGCATACCTCACCAATGTAGAACTGAATCTATATACCTCACCAATGTACCTCACCAATGTAGTCACTGTATACCTCACCAATGTAGAACTGAATCTATATACCTCACCAATGTAGAACTGAATCTATATACCTCGCCAATGTAGAACTGAATCTATATACCTCACCAATGTAGAACTGAATCTGTATACCTCACCAATGTAGAACTGAACCTATATACCTCACCAATGTAGAATCTGTATACCTCACCAATGTAGAACTGAATCTATATACCTCACCAATGTAGAACTGAACCTGTATACCTCACCAATGTAGAACTGAATCTATATACCTCGCCAATGTAGAACTGAATCTATATACCTCACCAATGTAGAACTGAACCTGTATACCTCACCAATGTAGAACTGAATCTATATACCTCGCCAATGTAGAACTGAATCTATATACCTCGCCAATGTAGAACTGAACCTGTATACCTCACCAATGTAGAACTGAATCTATATACCTCACCAATGTAGAACTGAATCTATATACCTCGCCAATGTAGAACTGAGCCTGTATACCTCACCAATGTAGAACTGAATCTATATACCTCACCAATGTAGAACTGAACCTGTATACCTCACCAATGTAGAACTGAATCTATATACTCTATTTACCTCACCAATGTAGAACTGAATCTATATACCTCGCCAATGTAGAACTGAACCTGTATACCTCACCAATGTAGAACTGAATCTATATACCTCACCAATGTAGAACTGAATCTATATACCTCACCAATGTAGAACTGAATCTGTATACCTCACCAATGTAGAACTGAACCTGCATATACCAATGTAGAACCTCACCAATGTAGAACTGAACCTGTATACCTCACCAATGTAGAACTGAATCTATATACCTCACCAATGTAGAACTGAACCTGTATACCTCACCAATGTAGAACTGAATCTGTATACCTCACCAATGTAGAACTGAATCTATATACCTAGAACTGAACCTGTATACCTCTGAATCTATATACCTCACCAATGTAGAACTGAATCTATATACCTCACCAATGTAGAACTGAACCTGTATACCTCACCAATGTAGAACTGAATCTGTATACCTCACCAATGTAGAACTGAACCTGTATACCTCACCAATGTAGAACTGAATCTATATACCTCACCAATGTAGAACTGAATCTATATACCTCGCCAATGTAGAACTGAATCTGTATACCTCGCCAATGTAGAACTGAATCAATGTATATCTATATACCTCACCAATGTAGAACTGAATCTATATACCTCACCAATGTACTGAACTGAACCTGTATACCTCACCAATGTAGAACTGAATCTGTATACCTCACCAATGTAGAACTGAACCTGTATACCTCACCAATGTAGAACTGAATCTATATACCTCACCAATGTAGAACTGAATCTATATACCTCGCCAATGTAGAACTGAGCCTGTATACCTCACCAATCTATATACCTCACCAATGTAGAACTGAGCCAATGTAGAACTGAATCTATATACCTCACCAATGTAGAACTGAATCTATATACCTCACCAATGTAGAACTGAACCTGTATACCTCACCAATGTAGAACTGAATCTATATACCTCGCCAATGTAGAACTGAGCCTGTATACCTCACCAATGTAGAACTGAATCTATATACCTCACCAATGTAGAACTGAACCTGTATACCTCACCAATGTAGAACTGAATCTATATACCTCGCCAATGTAGAACTGAACCTGTATACCTCACCAATGTAGAACTGAATCTATATACCTCGCCAATGTAGAACTGAATCTGTATACCTCACCAATGTAGAACTGAATCTGTATACCTCACCAATGTAGAACTGTATACCTCACCAATGTAGAACTGAACCTGTATACCTCACCAATGTAGAACTGAACCTGTATACCTCACCAATGTAGAACTGAATCTATATACCTCGCCAATGTAGAACTGAACCTGTATACCTCACCAATGTAGAACTGAACCTGTATACCTCACCAATGTAGAACTGAAGCTGTATACCTCACCAATGTAGAACTGAATCTGTATACCTCTCCAATGTAGAACTGAATCTTTATACCTCACCAATGTAGAACTGAACCTGTATACCTCACCAATGTAGAACTGAACCTGTATACCTCACCAATGTGAACTGAAGACCTCACCAATGTAGAACTGAATCTGTATACCTCGCCAATGTAGAACTGAATCTGTATACCTCACCAATGTAGAACTGAATCTGTATACCTCGCCAATGTAGAACTGAACCTGTATACCTCACCAATGTAGAACTGAATCTGTATACCTCGCCAATGTAGAACTGAATCTGTATACCTCGCCAATGTAGAACTGAACCTGTATACCTCACCAATGTAGAACTGAACCTGTATACCTCACCAATGTAGAACTGAATCTATATACCTCACCAATGTAGAACTGAACCTGTATACCTCACCAATGTACTGAACTGTAATCTGTATACCTCACCAATGTAGAACTGAATCTATATACCTCACCAATGTAGAACTGAATCTGTATACCTCACCAATGTAGAACTGAATCTGTATACCTCACCAATGTAGAACTGAACCTGTATACCTCATCAATGTAGAACTGAATCTATATACCTCACCAATATAAAGCTGAAACTGTATACCTCACCAATGTAGAACTGAACCTGTATACCTCACCAATATAGAACTGAACCTGTATACCTCACCAATGTAAAAATGAATCTGTATACCTCACCAATGTAGAACTGAATCTATACACCTCACCAATGTAGAACTGAATCTATACACCTCACCAATGTAGAACTGAATCTATACACCTCACCAATGTAGAACTGAATCTATATACCTCACCAATATAAAGCTGAAACTGTATACCTCACCAATGTAGAACTGAACCTGTATACCTCACCAATATAGAACTGAACCTGTATACCTCACCAATGTAAAAATGAATCTGTATACCTCACCAATGTAGAACTGAATCTATACACCTCACCAATGTAGAACTGAATCTATACACCTCACCAATGTAGAACTGAATCTATACACCTCACCAATGTAGAACTGAACCTGTATACCTCACCAATATAGAACTGAACCTGTATACCTCGCCAATGTAGAACTGAACCTGTATACCTCACCAATGTAGAACTGAACCTGTATACCTCACCTATGTAGAACTGAATCTATATAACTCGCCAATGTAGAACTGAACCTGTATACCTCAACAATGTAGAACTGAACCTGTATACCTCGCCAATGTAGAACTGAACCTGTATACCTCACCAATGTAGAACTGAACCTGTATACCTCACCAATGTAGAACTGAATCTATATACCTCGCCAATGTAGAACTGAATCTATATACCTCACCAATATAAAGCTGAAACTGTATACTCCACTGATATAAAACTGAATCCGTATACCCCAGGATTGCAGTTTGGCAGCCATTTCCTTTCTGACAACTCTTGATAATAACTGGACATAACCATGAACCAAGGGGAGTATACATGAAAATACAAAGAAATATTCTACCTCTAACATTACTTAAAGATATAGCATTGACAAACTGTAAAATGATTAATTCCAAGTGATTTAATTGTTAAAATCCAAGATGACTGCTTTGTGGTCAATTTTTATTTTTCAGATCATTAGTTCCCTATTGCAGAACCATCATCTAAAACATCTAAGAAAAAGCAATACTAATCTTCAACTTTCAAAATTTTGTCAGCCATTTTAATTCATGATCAGTGCTAAAATTGAACACATATAAAATCTGAGGATGACTGAGGCAAAAAACTGACTAAAGGACCGACGTACAGACTGACGTATGGACTGAGGATGCTGGAAGAATAGTAATTTAAACAGTCCACCATCAGAAGATGGTGAGCTAAAAATATATATTTCAATATATTCAAGTGCAATGTCTACCTATGGACTATTTCAGGAAAAATATACAGGAGGACTCCAGATATAAAGCACTATTTGGTATGGGTTTTGGAGAAAATGTAACTTAATATCTGAGAATTACTGCAATTTGATATATGACAATAACTTCAAAAGTTTTTCCCAATAGTACTGAAAAAAAGGCATAAAATTTCATTAAATGATTATGAAATTTTATTTTCAATGATACTTATTTATGTAAAATTTGATGCAACTGTTTAATTTACATTTTGTTTTGGCTAACCTTGACAATGACAAGTCTTTCTGAGAAATTTTCCAAAACTATTCAACAAAGGTTACTAATACTTTTACATTGAATTAGAAGTTATAATGTAACAATTATAAATAGAAATCAATCAGTTTGCACTAATCAATCATAAAATATGAAATCTTCATTGATTCCCAACACTGTTTTTAAGGAGTCATATTTTTTACTCTTCTTGATGATAGAAAGAAATGGTGGAAAATATATTGTCTTGAACACAAAATGTTTCACATAATTCAATTTTTTCCAGAAATATTCAGATAGACCTGAAAATTCACAACCTTCATGGTAGTTAGCTTATAAGTGCCTTTGAGAAAATGCAGTGTGATTTTTATGGTACTATTAGATCAACTCATTTACTTTGTACAAGACCTTATTTGAACAATCTGGAGTGTTCAAATGAGGTAAATAATAGACTGGAACAGCCCTCATGATTTGACTACCTACCCCAGCTCCTTGTGTGGTAGCCAAGTGAATCTGCTGAAGCTGGGCACCAGCTTGCCCTTGGGCTACCACCTGCACCTGTGTTTTCTGAGGCAACTTCGGTTGGTGCAACAAGAGCTCCTGTGGGATCTGGCGTGCAAGAGAGGTGCCCATCTTCTGCTTGGGAACCTAAACCCACAAAACATTTGCATCTATATTTACTTAATCACTCATAATCATCAATCGTTCATATCGACCTTTATGATTCATATATATGATAGATATGATTGAACGTCTATGTTCATTTCTGTACTGCAGAAATTCTTCTACTGGTTTACATCTAACATGGGCACCTATCTGACAACTTCAGATAAACCTTACAAGATGCTCAATACAATAATCTGAAACTTTCGTATAACTTTTGTTCAAAACAGTCCAATACTAATTCAGCATGAAATATGCTGGAAATGCTTGAAAACCAAGGGATACATACCTGTGCCAAGCTTGTCACCAGCTGCTGAGCTATGACCTTGGGAGCTCCAACACCACGACCTTGTTGCTGAAGTTGCTTCAACCGCTGCTGGTTAAGCTGGTCTGGCTGTAAGAACAAAAATTATTAGTGATATATCCAAAGACATAGCATAGACAAGAATCTTTGTGCATCTGAAAATGAAAAAAATCTGAAGATCTGGAAACCTGTATATATGATGACGATGAGCTATGTTCCACATTAGTTTGAAATTTGAAAAAAATTTCATGTGTAAGACTGAATTTTTACAACAAATATTGAACTTGCACGGTGCTTAATTTTACTCTCCGCTACATCAAGTGAAATCCTTACATTCGCTGTTAGACGTAATTAAATTTGCTCTCAAAAATTTGGAGATGTGATACTCACCGTTAGGTTAAGTTTGCGTGGCTGCTGCTGTTGGAAAGCAGTTTGCCGCTGCTGGCGCTGAGAAAGAGCTATCAGCTGCTGTTGTGTCAAGGCCTTTGTCATAGTTGCTTGAACTGTACCTGTCATATTAAACAATATCTTATGTTCCCTCTCTTTAAGTGATATGAAAGATTCTCCTCCCCCATCCCCCCCTCGTCAAACTCAAAAATCTGCCACTCTTTTAAAATTTCTTTTCCATAAAATTCATTATTAAAACAATTCATTATTCAATATATCACCATTCAAGTAGAGAATATCCTAACTAAATTCACTTTATATAAAGGCATGTTGTTGTCTAAGACATCTCTGTTCAAAATTCTACTGTAGAATATGATGGAATTTTTTCTACCTGTTGGTAGAGTTGTTCCCTGTGTTGAAGCAATACGAGCCAGTTGGGTGGATGTCAGGGTTGGCACTGTTGTTTGGATCTGTGTGCGAGCGACCTGACCCGTTGTTGCTACGTGGGTCACCTGACCAGTCTGGCTGGTGATGGCAGTAATCTCCTGTATGGGGATGGTCAGTGGTCGCTGGGCACGAATCGTTGGGTTCAGTGTTCCAGTTACCGTCTACAGAAAAATATACACTAAGCATGAATGTTTTCAAACATTGATATCAAAAACAAAATTTCAAATAGGTTGTGTTTATTCTTTCAAATGATGTTAATTACTACATTTAAGTAGATCCCTTTCATATATAAAACATCAAATATATTTGGAATATATAGTCGGTGTCTTAAAATATAAGCTGAATTTTGGCGAGGGTGAAAAAAGACTTGTCCTGAGCCAAAATGCTGCTTATGTTTAAGACATGTCTTTTATTTATCCTGCAACATGTACCAACAAAACTTCAACAGCAAAGCTGTTCGATCTTTGTTTAAGCTGACGTTGACATTACGCTTGATTTTGCCTCATAATGTATGCCAAAATATTTACTCTGCACACAAATATAGTTTCCAACTTCTAAGGATATGACAGCGACTTTAGGAGTTTTTGTAAATAAACTAATTAAATTAATTACATCGTATAAAATCTGTTAGCTTATTTCAACAGTTATTTTTATAGTTAAACATAATTTTTCAGTAAATTCAGAAAGAAATTTTATCAAATTAATGCATTTAGATTAATATCAATCTTCCATTCAGGAAAACTGAACATTACATTATGTAACACTAGAAAGAAACTGATTATTAAACATACCAAGTTTGAAGTGTCAAAGAAGAGAGATCTCTCCACACACAAGATAAACAATATGAAAACTAAGACGTTTGAAAAAGATTGCATGAAAACTGTGGGAAGAGAGCTCTGGACAAATAAATGTTTATGACGGCAGACAACGCTACACAAAAAGTTATTAAGGCTGCAACAATACATATAACTCATGACAGTTATTGCAAGATGATGTTTTCAATGTGATACTTGTAATGATAGGGTATGCTCAAAAGTTCAACTTCATAATGATTGAGAGAATATTGTTATTTAGTTAAGCCATATATTTCAATAGTAAATATTATCAAATATCTTCTTGTACAACTTCTAAAACTTTCTGAATAATGCAATGTTGACCACATCTGTTCTGAAAATAAAAATTGGTAGAACATTTAAGTACCTTTAGAGTATCATAATACAGGTTAACAAACCAATTGATATGATACACAAGGAAGTATCACGATATGATACAAAAATGGTATATCATTGCAGCCCTAAAAGATATCTTCAAAATGTAATTGTTCTTACAACTGATGAGGCCTGGCCTAGACTGGTAGCCTGATTCATTCGGCGATTGATGGCGGCAAAGCCTGGTGCTACGCCACTGGGCGTATTGACGACGATGTTACCAGTGGCACTACGAGCTAGCGACACAGCTGTTGTACCCTGTGGCACTCCTGATTTTGGAACTGCCGCTGCCGCCTATAAATAGATACAGCATATTTATGTTTACATTGAGAGACAGACAGACAGAGAGAAAGAGAGAGAGATGTTACAGTGAAACAAGTCTTAGATGGATCTAAATGAAGGTTTAAAACTTTCTTTTGCTGAAATTAAATACTTAACAATAACAAGGCTGAAATCACTAGAACTCGTGTTCACCAAAAATCACAAACAATTGCAAGGGATACTTTGGTTGGCTGATAGATAATCACTCACCATGACTGCTGATGCAACAGTGGTCTGGATTGGTTGTAACTGCTGGGTGACAGCCCCTTGAGGGACTGCCCCCTGGGGAATTGCAATTGCTGCAGTAACAGTGACAGGCTGGGGTTGTGCAGTGGCTTGAGGTGCAGGACTTGCCTGGGGTGCCGCAGCTTGTTGCTGGGCAAGTGTCCGGGCGGTCATGTGTTGCTGTTCTGCTGTCGCAGCCTGTCAATATAAGCAGGTCAATTTAAAGGCAGTACAGGCTGAATGGTGCTAGGTAGGTAGGAGGAAATATGGCAAGATATGCCATGGGACAGCACAGTGGGTAACAGAAAGTTCTACTACTGTACAAACGATACATCAAATCCTCGGCATCAACATCTAGAGTATTAGTAGGCTGTTTTAGATACAAAAACTTCTGGAATTGAAGAAACTTTGTCTCAGCTGTACCTATCAGCACTACATGTCTGACTACAAATACATTTAGTTAGGAAAAGTGTCTATAAAGATGAGAAACAAATGCAATCTTTTCCAGCGAAATATAACTGCTATATGAATTCATGTTTGACTGAAGATGCCACAAAGTGGTGACCATTGTAAAAGCTTCAATCAACATGGGAATTTTCAAAGATCATTTTCAGAAAATATGCATATCACTTGATATGAGCACATCGGTGCAGCACAATGTGACAGCAAGACATGAAAGAAAACTTTGACTTGTGGAGATTGTAATTACCTGGATTGGTCGTTAAATAGGTAGATAAGGACTTGTACCTGTGATTTCAACACTGAACACTGTTGATTACAGTGAAGACAAGTAAGTGTTTGTGTAGGCAAGATAAATAAATCTTCGTAATTAGATATTTAAGTGAATGAAAAAATGTAACATGTGTCTGATGTCAAAGAAAACAAACAAGAAATGCTCAAGAATGAGGCATTTTTTCCTACCCTATAATTAAACAGAAAGTTATTAAAGGTAAATGACATAAAAAAAAAAAAAAATTCTGAAGAGAATGCTTTCAAGTTTCGGACCTTCTATCGTTGGTCTGACGTGTTAGCTGAACATTCTAAAATCAATTTCTCGCCACACATTATGTAAGCAGAAGCATTTTTACCATTTTCAGCCCCAAAAAGTAACTGCGCACATTACATTGGTTTTAACAGTAATCAAAGTCACATACTGTTTCTTTCATAGAGAGCTATGATTGTGTAGTAGATGTATTATGTTAATTTACCTCAGGAGAGACTTCTGTTCCCTGATATTATTTATGTGAGTATGGTACAGCCAAACAATCTATACCGATACACAAGTAGATAGGGTTTAATTTTACAAATGAGCTAGCAAGGACTGAATTGCAAAATACTCCTAAAACATCTACACTTACTGCTGCAGCTTGATTTTGTTTCTTCTCACGCTGGATCCTCTGGGCACGGATCTCCGCCACGTTCATAGGGTCCAGTGGCTGGTCATATGTGATACCACTCTCAGACAACACAGCAGCGTGTTTGGGGTTCTTGGGTGTGGGGCTCACTAGTGTCTGTTTGAGTGTGGGTGGTCGCTTGGCAGCCAGCGTTTTAGCCGAGTCAAACCTTAGGGAGTGTAGCATGGTGATGGCCTGATTGCCATCTTGTACATATAACTGACTGGTGCGCATTGGACGGTTGTTCTTTGTCTGAAAATCACATAAAATTCATCTCTTCTTAATTTGTTGACTTTTATCACCCTAATTTTCATACTTACAATCTCAATTTATGCTTCTTCATCATAAAACATTTCTACAAGGATAACAAGGATGAGGAGAACTAGTATTTCTGCACATATGTAGCACAAAATCTAAATTTGACACTATTTGACCTTAAATGTCAAGGCCATTTATTTTAACAAATAAGGTCATCCTTCATCTCAGCATTCTACTGGTTATGAAGATTAAGTCATTTAAATCTCTTCACACGTTTGACCTTCATGACCTTGAAAATGGGTCATGGTCAATCAACTGAACAAACATTGATTTAAATACGTTTAGCAATACCCTTAGCTCTTTCATTATTGAGAAGTCATTTAAAGACTTGAACCCATGTGATCTTGTAACCTTGAGGAAGGTCAATGTCATTCAGTTGAATCAACTTGGTAGCCCTGAATCCTTCCAAGCTACTTTGGTTATTGAGAATATCATTTTGTTAAACTTTGTCCTGTTAGTTGGTTAATGAATTATTAACTTTCCTGGCCAATTTATTTACTAACGTTTCCTATATAAAAACTAACCTTGTATATGCCTTTTGTTTTCTTGCTCTGTTTGCGGGGATTGATGTCATACAGAATGCGTCCCTCCTCACGAGGAATGATGACATTCTCATAGCGGTTCCTACACTGTTTTGCAGAGCGGTATACTCGACTGACACTGCTCACAATGTCTGCCACCAGGTCCCAGTTGAGCTGATGGGCTGGAGACACCACCATCAGGTTCAGAGGTACATCAAACAGACTTTGCACTGCCTACAAGGGAGAATGCTTTTATTTATGACCCAGTCACATGTCATGTTAGATCTAATTAATATCAATACTATCAACATTTAAAAACATTCAAAAATGCTTACTGAAGTTTCTATACAGAACAAAGTTGGGAGTGGGCTTGTTACACAATTAGATATATACAGTCTCATTACCAATTATGGGCCTTAGCCAGTTTCATGATTGTACTGGTAGTAATTTAACTGTGCACTTAGTTCAGCTGTTTACTTTCCCTTCTATATTTACCTGAAGGAGTGCCCAGTCTTCATGGATCAGCCATTCAGGATGGTCTGATGACTGGTCTGCCGGTTTGTTGAGGACTGGTGGGACCGGGCGGAAAGGTTTGAGCAAGCCGCCCTGTTTAAGCTTGGCCTCACGTCTCATTCTCAGCAAGGCAGCCGTGGGACGGTCAAATAGGGAACGAGGCACCCTTGGTTGTTCTTCTTTACGTTGCTTCTGTTTACGTGCTAGTAGAATAAAATATTGTCATTAACAGTATGCTACTATCGATTCAATTTCTCCACAAATTGCACACAACATTAGAAGATTCATGTTTTCTTGAACAGTTTGCAGCATAATATAAAGTGTACTTACAGCTATTCTCAACATTTCTTTCTATATTTCCACCACAAAAATTTGTTTCGATATACATACTTGTGATGGACTCGACTTTCGGTTTCTTGTGTTCCTTCTTTATGTAAATGGGTGGCAGTTGGGACTCTGGCATCACCGCTGGCTCATAAAGAAAGCACATGGTCTGGTCCAAGTAGATGTCATTGTCATCATGAGGGGGAGTAGGTGGTGCCCAAAGCTACAATTATCCCAAGTAACATCAATCAAGTGCTGTTTAACATTCTTTTTTTGTGGTTTTAATTCCGAGTTTCTCGGTTTTGTTTACATTTTTTCTGTTATTTATATTAGACTTGTATATAAGAAGATTTGTACAAAGTCCACGTTAACGGCTCTTGACGTGATTGTGAAGTTATTACTGAGCTGGAAATTGTTTCCAATGTACTAATTTTATGAATGCTGTAAGCCCAAAAAGGACAAAATATCAGATTTTCAAATTTAAATTTTTGCAATTCCATGAGAATACAAACCGGCATGTGTTCTTGATCTGTATCAGAGATGAACACCTACAATGTAAATGGTAATTTTATAGAAAATATAAATTTAAAACATGTAGTACTTTCTACAAAAACCCTTGTCAAAAAATTAAAGGTGGCAAATTGAAAGATCCGCCTCATACAAAAAACTGCATATTTAAATCTACAAGAGGAAAGTTCATGACAGGTGTTCCCGTTTCCTAGGATAAATAAGATAGGAGGGACTAAATATTGTGTAACATCATTCATTTATGATAACAATATAGATTACTAAATCAATCTGGATATGGCAGGCTTTAGATATCACAACTCACTGAAGACAGGAATTTTGTGCCGCATAGAACTCCTGTGACATCACATACATATACTTTTCAAAACAAGTATTTGCACCTTGTACATACCTCACTGCAGCACACATGCACAAGTCTCTTGTAATATTCAGTTTGTCCAATCCAGTAGTTGTACACAAACATCATTGTGAAAATCTTTATAAAAACTTCAAGTGGTGCAGTTCTGGTGTCCACAAGTTTGATTTATTGAGGCAAGAAATTTGCACAGAATGTTTGATATGAAATGTCAGAATTTCTAGCTGTTTTCATTTGTTTGAGCAGTATTTCATTCATATGGGCCAATATTGATTTACTGTTCAACGTTATAGCATTGAAGGTAGTTGTCGTGTGATTCAGTTACTAAATACTTTGGAATACATAGAAACCAGTGAATGTTTTTTTTTTAATTTAATTTTTTTGGTTTTTTCTTTTAGGCAAGGGGAAGCAGGGATATTGAAGTGAAGGTATTGAGATTTAAGATTCCGAGATTTAAGAATTTTTAATATTGTTCATTAAATGAAAAACTGGTAGACTGATAGCTGTAAATTTATCCAGACTGTTTAAATCTTCACAAAATATTATTATTGTATGTCCTCATGATACAGGTAGTTCTTTTTACCAGTTATAATTTTTGTAATGTCAATTGAAGTTATTGTCCAGTGGTACAAGTAGTGGTTTTGGCCATCTGAGCATTACTATGGCCAGTGATTAGTCTTATACAACTAGAAATATATCCAAACCACCTCTATTTTTCCTGCTTGTCAACACCAACCCTCCAGTATTCTGGAAAATCCAGTCATCTCTAACCTTTCAGTATCCTAAAATACATGCATCTCTCTGGGAAGTCTGAAAATTTTGACCTCTCTTAACCCTCCAGTGTTCTGAAATATTGTCAACTTACAAAAATGTTGTTGTCTCTAATCCTTTGAAATAATGTCATCTCTAACCCTCCAGTATTCTAAACATTCTGTCATCTCTAACCCTCCAGTATTCTGAAATATGGTCATCTTTCACCCCCCCTACCCACAGTATCCTGAAATCTGTTATTGCTTTCCCCCTCTGAAGACTGAAATTTTGTCTTCTCTAATGCTCCCAGTTTCTTAAATATTGTCATCTCTAACTCTCTAGTATTCTGAAATCCTGTCATCTCTAACCCTCTCAGCATTCTGAAATCTTTTGACCTAAAACCCTTGTTCTCTAAAATTCTGTCTTATCCAACTTTCAGTGTTCTGAAATCTTGTTTTTCCAACTCATAAATCCAGTCACTTCTAACCCTGCAATTACTCTGAAATAATGACTCCTTTGATCCTAAATACCATCTTCTCCAACACTCCAGTATTTTTGGTTGATGACAATTTGATAATGGAAACATTTGGCAGAATTTTGGCATGAAAAAAAACTTCCTTTTCCTTTATTTTGATTTTAAACACATTTAAAACAAAATTCTCAATCTTTATGAGCTTGAGAATTCAACCCAACCTCCTTATTCATTCAGGCCAATTAAGATTTTTCTAACATATCTTCAGGTCTTGATTCCTAGAATCAGTAGATTCATAGAAAGACAAAACGATTTGTATGGTGTAACTTAAGTGATCCCTTGACAAATGCCATGTATTTTACAAAGCTATCAAGCTATGTCACTTCCTTCACTTATGTTATAAATTTTGTACTGAATCTTCAGGGCTATCCCTAATGTAGGGGTGTTCAAAACAATGGATTTTATTAGATTCCATATTAAAAACCATTCACAAATTATTTAGGGAATTTTCTTGTAAATAATCCACCTACATCTGATGTGATCTTTTCTTTCGTCAAATGAGAGATTTAACATCAAGATTATAAGCTGCCTTACATGTGACTGGATACCTGTTGACTTCCATCATTTAATATTATACATTTATACAATATATTTCTTGCCATTTCTTGTGTTTTCTCTATGCAATCGATTTACAATTCTAAATTTTCATCCAGGAAAATTTCATTTTTTTCCATTTCTAATAGGTTTTCTTTTAATGTTGAAATCTTTTGGAAAACATTGCAAGGCAGCATATATCTTAAAGAGTTTGTGTACAAATAGCTGGAAGGAGGATGGACAGACAGACACGGCATCTCATTTCTGTGTACGATGTGTCTGGCAATGACAGGCGGCCATTATTTTTCACTCGACACAAGGTTGTGGTGCCTACTTCATACCAAACACGGCAATATACCTGATTTAGTGTACCAGGTTTAAAATCAAACAACACCAAAACTGTCCTTGTTTTTTTTTTTACAGTAAAAAGTGTTTTCAATAATTTTCATACCTTTGAATACCAATTAACAAAACTTTTTTTCTCAAATAATATATTAAATGGAATGCTCAAATAAAGCACTTCACGTCCGTTTTATTCACCTGAATTTTATACAGATGTATCATTACTTTACAAATCGACATTTGGATAAAGTGGTGAAGCATCGTACGCATGAAATGAGACGCAGATTGAAGAAGTCTGTCAAGACCTCCACAGCCTACACCGTCTATATATAGACACCATTAACCTTGAATCGGGTGACCTGAAATAGCCGTTACCATGGCAACCCGTCAAAACCCGATCAACATCGTCGACAGAAAGAAATGAGATGCAGAGTCGGACATAATGAAACATTTTAACTCTTTATTCATATCAGGTGACACCATGTGTCCAGGTCTTGTCACTACAATAGCAACATCAAGCTCTAGTCTCTCACTCTTCCATCATTCATACCCAAAACTTAAAGACACTGAGAAATTACACACATGCAGACTGCTACGTCCTTCTAATCAAACTTACATATTTCTCAACACCCAGTATGTCTCACTTTCGTCCATTCTGTTTCCAGCTTCTTCATCTTCCTCAATCTATCCATTAACAATCAACCAGTCGCCCAGAGGTAAGGCATGCATTCAGTCACACATTTCAAACAAGTTTCCCATCATTTCAAATGTACAAAACTTAATTCTCCACTCAAATTGCCTACACAACCATTCAAGTCATCTGTATAAAACAAATGGAACTGTATGAAAACTCCATTCTCTCTCATTCATTTTCTAGCTGTTTTTACCTAGACATGACACATGACATAACGATGTGCAACTGTCCTTCTTTACCATAATACCCCCCACACCCACCCAATTTTTTTTTTTCAAGCTCTATGTCATTTCCCATTTTTAGAATTTGCTGCAGCCTGCAACCATCTGGCTACCTATTCAATAGCACAAAACTTCAAAAACAAAGTTTCAATTTTTCTAACAATAAATGATGCATTAAAAACATCAATTTGTTTTATCGTTTTTCTTCCTTCAAAATAAAATAAAGTCTAGCTAGTAGACATCAAAACAAATTTATAATTGATGTGTGGTTTACCAACTTGTTTTAACCAATGTCGGGAAAACATAACATTTCAGTGTGTACTGGAACATGGGTGAAGGCTTACTCATTCGTGACCAATTTATATGGACAAACCCAAAGAACTTTTGCCAACATTTTTGAACTGAACTTTCACAAATTACAACCAACTTGTAGTATATTAAAACCCAAGTTTGGATCAGGTATGTGTAATATGTAGCTCATCTGTGCTAAGGACTAGCACTTATTGAATATAGATCATCTAAGATCTTTGCCTCTTTCACCCATTGTCATTGTACAGTAGAGTGCCATTACTTGTGCCTTCCACTACACTGGGTATGTCTTGTATATTAAATGGCTGGAACACAGTCTCTACAGTGGAAGGGAGAGAATCATTCTTAATGGTAACATTGGCCCCAACAGGAATCACAGGATTGCTACCTGCCTTAATCAGACTGATGAACTGTGGGTTCTGAGGGCTTGCACTGATAGCAAAAGTCTGAGGGGTAGGTGCTGGTACTGAACTAACTGCCGCAGCTGCCGGCACAGCACTGACTGTTACATCATTCTGCACCCCAACCTCTGCACCAACCTTCGTATTAGGTGTATGGTCCTGCATGACTGCCCGCCTAGTGCGGATAACAAGGTTGGGGTTGGACCAGGGTTGGGGAACAGACAAGCTGGCAGTGGTAGCTGTGTTTGGTAATCGTTTAGCCCCTAGTAGAGCTACTGGGGGCGCTGCTACCTGCTCTGTCTGTGCTGTTGAAGCCATGGGAACACTGGGCACTTTACTGCTAATTTTTGCAGTTCTTGCCACATGATTAGGGGACTGGAACCGAGACATTGGCATGGACAGTCGAGGAGTGGAGATTGGTGTATTTTGATTTTGGACAACTGGGATTTGTTGGGCTTGACCTATAACAGTGGTGGGTACAACTTGACGCATTCTCTGAGATGGAATTGTGTTACTTGGAATTATTTTGTTGCCAATCATCCTTGCCATAGGCATAGCTATAGGAGATCCACTCACAGACATTGGAATGGCCTTTCCTCCAGCCAATTGCAAGAAAACCAGTCCTTGCTGCTGAGGATTTGCTCCCTGAATCTGGGGATTGGCTGCCTGCAGACGCACCCCTTGGCCACCAACTGGGTTCACACAGTACTGCAAAACAGGCTGTTGGGTAACAGTTGAGTTACCACTCACCTTGATAAATGAGATGGTAGGCTGGGCCCCACTCCCTTGGGCACCAATCACCTGCTGTACCCCTGGGGACTGTGTTAAAATCTGCTGGGTTTGGGACACAACTGGTAGTGCCTGGGTCCCCTGAGTGACTAGTTGTACTCCCTGACCTCCCAACTGGGGGTTCTGAGCAACCAAGTGTATAGCCTGGGTGCCAGGTGATCCAGAAGTCTGAGATACCAGCTGGAGTTGAGGCTGGCCTAGACCTTGGGACAGCAACTGGCCCCGAGGCAGAGCTTGCATTTGTTTAACAACATGTTGTATGGGTTGGGCAGTAATTCCCTGTGGAAGGACATGTCGTATAGTCTGGTGTACCTGCCCCTGGGGTGCCACTATCTGGTATGGGCGGGGCTGGCTCACCTGCAACATGGCCTGCTGGGGAAGGGAGGTGAAAGTTGGTTGCTCAGGTGAGCCCTGCACTCCTTGGGAGACCGACCCCTTCACAGAGACAGGAGTTTGCTTGATATTGTGATGGGCTTTGGATATTATTTGTTTGAGATGCTGAAGTTGTGATGGAGTGAGCAGCTGGGGCTGTGAGGTCAATCCTGGGAGCTTAGTGGGAGGAGAGGTGTACTCTGAGCAGCCCTGGGATACGGCATTGCCCAAGGACACATTTGACAGGTGCTGTTGCAATGCCTGTTTAGCAACCAGACGCTGTACTGTCAGACCTGCTGACTTCTTTTCAGCCTTGGGAGGTGTACCCGATGTTGGGATTGAAGGAGTTGACACCTTGGGTGGGGTTAGAGTGGGGACCTTAAGTGGTACTTTAGTGCCCTTGAGTTGTTTCTGTAATGCGGACTTAGTTTGGCGAGCTGTCACTTTCTTAGGTACAGGAACTTGTTTAGGCGACTCCTTATCTTCTGTAAGGATGATAGTTTTCACTGGTGATTTTTTCTTAGGTGTAGTAGGGACAGTGAGTTTGGCAGCCAGATTTCTCATGGCACTCCTTGCTGCCTTCAGTCTATCTATCAAAGGTTCACTACTAGATTCATCATCAACCACAATATCCCCCTCCCCAGGATCTCCTTCCTCCCCTACCACTCTCTCTTCATTCAATGACGCATGCTGGCCTCGTACACCTTTACCACGCCCCCTGGTACCAGGCCTGCGTCCAGCTGTCTGGCGCGCAGGACTAGTGAGATTGCCACGGGCCTTCTTGGTTTGCTTGTTGGAGCGTTTCTTCACCTGGTTGTACGAGTCATCACGAAGGTATGTGTACAGCATTTCATCCTCTTCCAGTTCAAGGCGGCGTTCCTCATCTTCTTTTAATGCCTTTAGTCGTGCTAGCTCCCAGTCCTTCTTAGAGTTGGCAATCTCCTCCTGTTCAAACAAATCAACAAATACAAGCCTAAAGTAGTAATAATTTTAAAATCCACTGAAGGTCACTTTTCAAATCCTGGTGAAGATTTATCAAGACGGAGTATTGCAAGCAATCCTTATTTCAATTCTGAAATGACTACTGTCATTTACTTGGTTTTTGTTATACCCTGGTCAACATTAAATTAGATGTCAGGAAAACATAAATTGTCGTAGTTAATTTTTTATTTTAAACACTGCCAGTAACGAGAAATACTATTGCTAAAGCAGATCTTACCACAGATATCTCAAGGTCATCATCTGGTTTCATTTCATTCTCCATAAACGTGACTGCAAACCTCTCAATGGGAGTAAGCTACAAAACAAAACCACAATGTATATCAAATAGGAATTGACTTCCCTGCTTTTGATTTTCTCCAGTCTGAAAACAATTTACATATTTCCAGCATGATCTTTTTCAGACTTATACTCTCGGTTAATTTAAAGGTTTTTACAAAAAATCTTAATAGCACATACTACATAATGTGAACTGATATTGTTGTTTGTATCCAACGACAGGAAGTTTTAATTGCGCTGTCAGCAATTAAAGTGTTTTAAGTAGGAATTTATCTCCCCTGGATTGTATTCTCTTGGTGATCATGTTAGATTTCATCAAGAGTTGTGAGCTCAGGGTTATATCATTGCAGGTCAAAACTGCATTCATATAGACACACTTAACATCTTTAATTATGAAAAACTGAACTTGCTGTTCCAGTGGTGAACAACTTCCTTTTGTTCTCCAGATCTAGCACTTATAGGCATATTTCCCACTTCTACCCATTATTTTGACTTGCCTCTTTGTCCAACATAGCTAATTCTTGTTCTGCCTTGGACATCTCTTCTTCTTCTTTCCGTTTCTCTGCCTCTCTCTCATCCCATGGAATGTTCTCATCAAACTCAGCAAGTTCTGCTTTCTGTTCTGCTTTCACTAGATTGGCAGCTACTACATCAGTCTCATCTTCAGCCTTTCCCAGTGCCTATAAAACAACCATCCAGTGTGATCCATGAACCACAATATCAATCAACTGTCACACCACACCATAAGCAACTATGAAGTTGCACTGGGTTAATATAAGATACAATGACCATGTATTTCAAAAATACTTCACTTGATTCTGAAACGTTTTTTTTTTTTTTTTTGGATCCTGTAACATTTGTTTCTCTAATTTACTAAGAAAGTCAATTCGTCTCTACTGCTGTTTTGAAATAAATTAGCAAAGGCATTTAAACCACGAAAGTAGCTGATTATTTATTTAGCACTGCTTAATGAATGCATTTCCAAAGAAAATGAAAAAAAAAAAAAAGATTAATTAATAATAATTACAACATTATTGGTTTGGAATAAAGAGGACCTTTGCAGTTACCAAGAAGTTTTGACTGAAGAGATAGAAAGCAACTATGGTTAGCACATTATTGATAATCTAGGCCAGTTCTGAAGACCAAATAACACATGGCGAGACAGGTGATATCTTCAAGCCACAAGCTGAAACAACCCATCCTAAAAAGGTCTCAAATATTTGACTCTAGCCTTTATGACAGCTGAAAATGAAGAGTTCAGTATAACGTGAGCCACTGTTTTCAATATACCTGTTCAAATTGAGCTACAATGTTCTTGTCTGAAGGTACCCCTGCCTGCTTCTGATCTCCACTCCCAAAGGATTTTGTGTCCTTGACCTCATCCCCACCCCCTAGAGATTTTGTTGTCTGTATTTCTGTCACTTTGGGTTCCACCAGAGAATCCAGTCCTGATGGCTCTGAAAACAGCTCCTGGATGGTGTTCTGCAATAAACAATTTAACATATCACCTACATACCATACACAGCAGGGTGGGGAAAGTCAGAACATTGCAATCACACTTAAGGAGAGAATTTGCTGCAAGTATCACCATGTGTATCTCATCATGTGAAGCTAAACTGCACTGCAATTGCAATGCTTTTCACTAGAGATAAGTTTGCTAAAACAAACCAAGTTGTACAAAGCTGTCAACAATATTAGATATTAAAACAGGCTAATAAATGTTACAGGCAGCCCTATTACTTTTCAGAAATCAGTGCCTTGTTAAAACTGGATCAGGAAAAAAAAAATCAGAAAATAAAAAATTTCTGGATATTATTCCATTAACACTTTTGCTAATTGATGTATCATTACATCATTAGGTCTGCCTGTTCATTCATTTCTTTTAAAATGCTGAAGGACTCCTTACCTCCTTGAAGAAAGCAGTGGTAAAGTTGCCTCCTTCAATAGCCATATCCCCAAGCATGCGTTTCTGGTTGGCTTTCTTCAGAATGTTTTCCTCTACTGTCTTTTTACTAATCAGTCTAAAAACAGAAGTTTTTTTCAGCTTACTGGTCAGCAGTGAAGCAGTCTAAACTAGGTCAGAATAAGATCATAAACGAAAAGTGAAAAAGAATTTTTATGAGGCATTATTGATTCAACTGAACAGAATCCAGCAGATATTGTGTAACCTGTATACCTAGGCAATTCAGTTACAGGGAAACTGTATCGTCAAGTACACAGGTATTAATTTTTGGCTGAATGTAGAACTGAACTACATACAGTAGCTCAGTGGATCTACAGCCATCACAAATAAAAAAACAGTTTAGAAAGTGAGTCCACTCTTTCTACTTCACATAAAGTATAGTGAATCTCTAAGTCAATGATATATTACATGTGTCAAGGGTAACAACGTTTCAAGGTGAAGGTCTCAGTAACGCTTTACAGAAATTTGTCTAGGTCTCAATTACTCTTTATAGAAATTTGTCAAGGTCACGGTTACTCTACAGAAATTTGTCTAGGTCTCAGTTTCTCTTTGTCGAACTGTGATAGCAACATGTAGGGACTGTAGGCATATATGAATGTCTTATATTTTTCAATGGTTAACAAAACCTGAATATTCACTTGTGATTAATTGAGTCTTAAAATGTCTTGGATTCTCTCTATGTTTTTTCAACCATTGATGTCATGGTTATATGTCTTCTATGTTCCAATATGTTGACAGAAGTGGCCATAAAAAGAAATATATATTTCTACATGCCAGATTAAAAGTAATAAACCAAAGTGTCAATTCTACATAAACTGTCTGTAATGTTCTATAACAATCTGAATTTCAGCTGAAGTCATTCAGCTGGCAATGTACATACATGTAAAATAATACAATATATTCTTGAAAGAGGATCCATAAGGTTATGAAACAATTGACAATTGGAGAGAAGAAATACATTCAAAAGATGTATTTGTAACCAAATTTTTGGGGCCATACAATTATTAAAGAATTGCATGGTTCGTACATTGGCTTTGATCTAGGCTGATTTTAAGTCCAGACTACACGAAAGAAGTATGGGTGATATCTCTCAGCCCGGCTATAACAAACATTTCTACATAATATACTGAAGATTTGTTAAACAAATCATTTTTTCTTTGCTTATTGAGTATGCACAATAAACTAGATCAGTGAATAATTTATAACCATACTGATAATGTATGCCACTTTCATTGACTAACATAAGATTGAGAAAAATTTCATTCAAAATTCCTTTTGATGTACTCGAAGTTTCCAGCCAAGCTTTAAATATTGTAAATAGGCCCAGACAACCTTAAGAAATATAGACTTTTGGGAGCGATTTAAGACAACACTGCATGTATACAATATCTCAATGTACGCTCTATAATGGTCACTGGTAATATGGAGAATATTTCATAATCCTGGATATTTTTAACTAACCTGTAAATGTGGACATCACGTGTCTGTCCAATGCGATGGCATCGGTCCTGAGCCTGAGCATCCATGGTTGGATTCCAGTCGCTGTCATAAAATATCACAGTGTCAGCGCCTGTCAGGTTCACACCAATTCCACCTGATCGTGTGGACAAAATGAAACAGAAAATACGCCGGTCAGCATTAAACCGGTCCATTAGAAATTGTCTCTGCTCAACACGTGTTGTTCCATCCAGTCGGAGGTAGCGATGACCATGGTAACTGAGAAAGGACTCCAGAATGTTCAACATCTTCGTCATTTGTGTGAAAATTAGAACACGGTGATCCTCTGACTTCAGCCGTCGCAACAGGAGATCTAATGTCTGAAGTTTACCTACAAAACACAACCAGTTTTACAAATTTGGAAGGACTAAGCAGATTTCTTGAGTGATTTTTTTTATCAGCAAATCTCTCACCACATCTTAGTACAAGAAAACAGCAAATTTAAGAATTTTTCCTTAAACATACTATGTAATCTCAATATCTTCAATGCACAAAACAAATCCTGTTGAGCAAGTAACCACTCACATTTAACATGTTAATTATTGCAAGAGGCTCAAAGGCCATAATGGTCATTGGACTATAAAGACCTATATATGAAAGAGGCCTAATAGGCCTAAAATAAGATCTCAAGAGATCTTGATATCGGTCAAAGTCAATTCTTTGAACTAATTTGAGCCCTTCATCTACTTATATTAAAGAACCAACAGCTGGGACCTTATTGTTATTGAGAAGTCGTTTGAAGATTTTTACACATTTGACCCCGTGTGACATTTAAAAAAGAGAAAATGTCTATCACATGAATACAATTGGTAACCCCTCATCCAGCATACCACAGACCTAATATCTGCATCTAATGCTTTTAGGTAATGGAGAAGAAAATTGATTAAAAAATTTTGACATATTTGACATGTCACCTTAAAAAATGGTCAAGGTCAATAATAAGCAAAAAATTGGTAGTCTTTCATCCCAGCATGCTACTGGCCCAATATCAGCACCATGGACCTTTCAGTAATTGAGAATAAGTTGTTTGAATATTTCAACACATTTGACCTCTGTAACCATGAAAGTGGGTCAAAGTCATTCATATTAACAAACCTAGACTCCAGTAATCAAGATCAATGAATCCTCTTAAACCTTGTTGGTCAACTCCATCTCCCACATTATCACTTACCACAGTCATACTGTATAAGTCGAAGTTCAGGGAACTGCACCATTCTGTTGGTAGAAATTTTGTGTAGACAACTCGCCTTGGGCGATACTTCTTTATGAAGGATAAAGTCCCGCCATCGCTCACTCATCACAGTGGAGGATGGAGGATGAGACACATGCATTTTGATGCAAGGTGATACAACAGGTGGAGTAACAAACACGTACCTGTAATAAAAATGTTAAGGATCATATAAAGGATAGGCACCCGAGGAAACTAAAAAAAATTCAATGTTATGTCTCAAATTTACTTCTTAAAATTTGAAATTTGTACAAATATTCTGATTTCTGACCAAAAAATACCTGAAAAATCATTGTGTTTTCAAACTTGCAGCTAATCTATAAGATTCTCATTCTCCTGTGTCTTTTGTAAATCAAAATATATATGTAACATGTATAACATGTTCACGCTGGTAAGTTATATGACGTCAGGTGAACAAAAACTTGGGAGCCACAGAGATACTAATATTTCTGTAATTACCTTATTTTAAAGAGTAAGATTTTATAACAGAGAATGCAGTTATCTGGTTTCTAAATGATCACAATTTAAAGACATGGGTCAAAGAGCAATTAATTGAGCTTTATTATTCATTAAAACATGAGCAATCTGATTACTGCTGCTCAAATACTTTGCAATAATTTATCTATGAACTTCATTGGTCTCGGATTTTCATACACGACTATCGATAATTTAGCCTTGAAGTAGTTACTGCTTTCTTTTCTTGTCTGACTTGTATATAACAGACAAGTCAGTCATGACATGCACTTGTCCAACTGGACAAGCAAGTTTTAGCAGTTACAAGTTGTTGAAAAGGTTTTAAAAGTGTCAAATAAATAAAACTATATCATTCAAATTCTGAAGTCTCGATCGCTATAGTCATTTATTTTTTTAAATCAATGTCCTCTTTGGCTACAATGTAAATTAACCTTATAAAGAAACAAGTTATCTGATGTTGATTTCCCAGGATTAAGTAAAAGTGTTCCAAACATAATCTGTATCTTAGTTTGTTTTCAATTGCAGTTACTCAAAGCATTTTAGTGAAACTGAATAATGTTGACAACTACATAATTTAAGATGGAGGCTGTCAGACAACAGACTTGACAAAGTTTGGTTTAAGCACGGAAGGAGTGAGGAAAAAAAGCTAATGTTGAGCCCTTGGTATCATTCATTCAATATCTACACCCTCAACAATTCTTTCTACATCCTCAATAATTTTTTTTAGATATCCAAAGTCCAAGACATCAGCAAATTATCAAAATATTTACAATGAAAATGTTGTTAAAAATTACAACTTCCTTTAGAGTAATTTAAGAGGTGATTCTTGCAATTTGTACAGGACTTCAAAGCACTGACTATGTAACACAATAGCTGCACAGACTTGCTACATTAGCACCAAAAAACAGCTCTTGACTCTGCCATACTTTAGAGTTGAAGAAACTTGTATTTGCACCAAGGCAGAATTTATAATCCACAGAAAGCAGCTAATTCATAAGGCATACCTAGATAAAATGTCTTCTAGTTGGTGTAGGTATTGTAAAGGAGTATGGACCAGATTTGAAAGCACTTTGGTTTGATTCCAGAAGATTTCTGGGCGATGAGGATTGCTCCAAGAGTTAATGTTTGTACAGTGCACATGCCCTTGGGAGCACCACGTGTTATCACGCACGCGAGTCTTGCATGTGTCGCTCATAACGTTCACAGTACAACGCAAGTCCTGTCCATAAACAGGCTTACGTTCACAATGTAACTTGTTTGTACGAGCAATGTACCCCAGCTTATCCCGTTGTCGACACTCCCTCCTGTCACATAATGTGTCCTGAAATGAAATGTGTTTTTTTTAGATCATGATAATCAATGATGCTGCCTTGCCTTATCTGTGAAGCGATATGTTGAAAATTTGCTTAAGTTGAAAACATTGATGTGAAGCCAAAGGTTGGACCATATTTATTTACAAAAACTTTGTTTATTACAAAAAAATCATACAGATATCAGAATGTCATTCAATTCAGAGTAGAAAATTGATTATTGAAAACTTATTTTTCCATAATCATAATTCATCACAATCTGAACTTACCAGGAGAAGCTCTGTCTTGACGCGGCGTTTGGTTTTCTGTACAGTAAATCGAGTAGAAAGACCCGTGGTAGGTTTGGTCTCGGATACTGTCGTTGATATACTGGCTTTTACCACTACAAGTTAACACAGGCAATTCAGCAGTCGCAACACAAACCACAAAGATCAATAGAACCTGAACAAGTCATCAATGGCCCTACCAAACAATAGGGAGCCAATGACAAACACTGTAGGAAGCGCTGCAGCCTACAGTGAAGGGCAGCAGTTCAATATCAGTTGTTGTATATCATTAACTTTTTATGGTATTATTTCAGGAGTATTATCATATGTTTGATACCAATAGCTTGATCAAATGATTTCATCAATTCTAACAACTTGCAGGAAACTGGTTTCTTCATCTTCAGAATTTGAGTGAATATCAAGTTAAACAGAAGATTAAAATGGAAGAAAAGGATATGAGATCTATAAAAGATCAGACAATCTGAAGGGAAAGATATAAAAACACCAAGATATACCTTTATTTATTCTTCAATAGGGGGCCTATTCATTAATGATGAGTTTGGCCTATTACACAACAATTATACAATACCAGGAATGGACTTATTGTCCGATTTATAATTGTATATTTACCATTTGTGGTGGAGGTTGAAGCAGTTACCATGGGGGAGACCTTCATGACAGGTTTAAGAGTGGTAGTAGTGGTAGTCAGTGGAAGCTGCACAGACACAGCCGGTTTGACTTGGGTAGTCACTGTTGTTAGCGTGGTACTGGCAGAGGAAGCTGCAACTGTGGTGATTGCAGGCAAACCGTTTACTGTTAAAAGCCAAACAGATAATGCTAAAATGTCAGCTTTTAGTTAGGACAAAAAAATAATTTTCTAAAAATGTGTATAAATAATCACTCATATAAACAATATTCGTGAGTACTAGTCATTTCAATCAACAAAGAAAGTAATTTACCTGAAAGTGTTTTAGAAATTTCCAAGAAAACCTAAATAAGTTTTTGTACAGTTTACATTGATAAATGTAGAAATTTTTCTGTTACCAAGTATTAGTTTTACAGACCAATCATAATAGCCTGCAAAATTAGTGTGTATTGTTTGGTGGTAATCTAGGCTGGTTGCAAAGACCAAACTGCACTAATCAGAAGAATGGTTGATTTTCCAGCCTGAAATCTTAAGCACTTACTCCTTGGATATACATTTTGACAATTTTAAATAAATTAGCAGCAGACACACTTTTCCTTACAAGTTTAGAATTAATTACAGTTTATGATAAATAATGAATTCAATTACATCTTACAGTTGTTAAGAACTACATACTAACCTATTGTACTGCTTGTTGTGGTGGCACGACTGACACTACTAGCTGTGATTGATGGTGATCCCACACGCTGCTGAGCTGAAGTTGCAACTGATGATGCAATAATCTGTTGACCCATGGAAGTCTGAACAATCTGGATGAAACCAGCTGTAAATAATATAAATATTTTCTATATAGTAACACATTAAGCCAAATCTTCATATACTGAGAATAATTAATAAACAGATCAATTTTTTACAGCATCTTTAAGCATTCATTTAGCAAACTAAGGTAAATAACTTTTGTGTTGCCAGCAATTTGGTGACCGATCACTCTACAAAAGAGCACCGGCGCATAGAGCTGCAGTCTATCTCCGAGTTACATTAGCACCAACGACACCATATGGGAGTGACCAGGTGACTCTATGTCTCGGCGTTGTACTTAAGTTAATTTCTTTCTGCATAATACTAACATAGGACATGGGATTACCAAGAATAAAAAAAAAAACAAACAAAAAAATCAAATTAATCTCCCTTTCAGCATTAAGCGAAACTGCAAAAATATTATCTATTGCAAAAGAAAATACTTCAACAGAACTCACCAGGTAGTTGTGACAGTTGGCCTGCAGGTATCATAAGCCGAGCACCTTGATCCGTCTGCTGTATCTGTACTGTGATTGGTTGAGAGGTGGTCACCTGACTTGAGGAGGATGGCAGACTGACTGTTGTGGTGGTGATGGGTCCTATCTTGGCCTGTGGGGTGATGACACTACCAGTAGTGTTGATGACAGACAAGGTGCTGGTTACACTGGTGCTGGATGCCACAACAGAAGTGAGAGGCTGTGCCACACTGCTGGTTGTCATGGTTATTGAAGACTGTGTCCTTGGTATAACTTTCAGTAAAAGAGAAATCAATTAACATCACAAACATCAACTTTGATAAAAGTAGTAACTGATGTCTCATCAAATTTCATAAGGATCTCTTGATATAAATTCTTTGCACATTGGGTGCAAGAACATGCAATTTATTGCACATAAATTCCTTCATTTGATGCAACAAGGAGTTCCCCTCAATGGTAGATAGTATTGAAATACATTCTAGCCTGACCAAGAATCTATGACAAAGAAATATGTCTTGGTGTCCAAGCGTACAAAATGAAGGAAATACACTTGTAAAACCAATGTCAACTAAATTCTATCTATGTTGTGTTTCTGACCTTCGACCTTAAGACACAGTTTACCATGTCTGATGCCAAAAGTCAGATTTTATTGTGCGAGACTTACTCAATCTACAGTGTCACAGAAGACATGTAGGCTATCATTTGTCTCAACAAACAGGAAAAGTCGTGGATAGTGAATAAATTTGAGGTGAACAAATTTATTGAGAAATTGGAAATAAAATCAGTCTAGGCTTTCTACTTTCCACAGTAGAATTTATCATTACAAATGTTAATTGATGTTTACATAGACTCATTAGTCACTAAGCTGGAAAACCCACTTCATCTGGGTGACCTATTCTACATTCAACATACAAATGATATACATTTAGAGGAAAGTGGTTTGATTTGGCCAACAAACCAAAAAGGATAATTGTAGTTCATGTAAATGTCAGTAAGATGAAAACATTTAGTTACCTGCAGCAGTGAGTGTGGTTGATGTGGTGGAAGTGATGGTGGTTCCCACCCCAGCAGTCGTAACGGCAGTAGATGTAGTGACAGACGCTGCTGTTTTGGTTTTCTCTGTGACAGTTGTGGCAGGGGTCTGGTTTGTTAGCGGTGAAACACTCCTCGACTGCAAACATTTCATGCTAAAATCACCACTTTTTAAATAGGAAAGAGATTACTTCATCTTGTAAAGCTAGGACTATTTATACATGAAAACTAGTAGCCACAGATAAGTCAACTTTCAAATAGATAAGTTAGAAAACTGATCAATCCATTAAGCGAATGATCAGGGCAAAAGTCTGCATTCATATCTGAGCTACATTTGCACCAGTACCATGACAGATAAATGAATTGGTGACAATGCCCCAACCTTACTTTACATTATAAAGTTTAACATTTTGATTTCAATGAGTAATGCATTAAAAAGAGACATCAATCAACTGAAATCTCCAATATTACTACAAGCAAATGAAAATGACACAGGAAAACCAATATCAAACTTGAAATCATCTCCATCACAAGATATTTCTCTCCCAATTTGTGGCCAGACTTGTTTTTTTCTTTTTTTTTTCTTAGACAATGTCAAACCATGAAAAATGTCAACTTCAGATGTCAGATACTTTTGACCTTTTAAGTTATAAGGAAATGAAAATTTTAAAAATGCAAAGGTATGAATGGAACTTCAGAAATTTAATAAAAAAATAGGTCATCAAATATACATCTCCTAATTAATAATCCTATTTGACCCAACAAAACAATTACAACTCATATAACGGCCATCATACATTCAGTAATTTCTCATTAATAGAAGCCAATTTGTTTCAATTTAGGATACCTACCACGGGAGATATACTTCTAAAGTTGACTGGTTTCAGTTTGCCAGGTTTTAGTCGAGGAGGGGGATCTGGCTGCTCATCAATCTCCTCTATCAGTTGTTGAGATGTCTGGAGCCGCTTCACTCTGTGTGCCACAAATGCAGGCAAATCTTGTTCCATGTCTGCTAGTCCCGGATACCGCAACAGATCAACATCCTATAGTACGAAGACCAGCAAATTAATTGAAGAACACAGAATCCATAAACCAATCAGAAGAAAGGAATAATCAAATAATCAATAATGAAAAGGAAATTAATTAAATTAAATAATTAAAGATTTAAGTCTTCCTATTAAATTCTTTACCTATACAGATAGTTAATTCTCGTAACTTTCTGATCTCCTATTAATGCTATTTTGCCCATCAAACATGTTTTAAGTTATTATTTGACACACAGATAAAGTACATAAAATCAAATCCTAATCTGCATTAAAAAAAAATGAAATTCCCAATCTTTAATTTTTTTTCCAGATGAGAAACAGAAAACTATTATTTGTTCTTACTGTGAAGGGGTCATACTCCAACATTTTCAGAACAGCAGAAGATGTATGGAATGTGATGCCTTCAGTTTGGAATGGTGAAACAATTGGCCGCTCATCAAATAGACTGGGGTGGTTGCAGACCTTACGAAGTTGCATCAGAATGTTGATGACACTCATGAAGTGACCACTGGCTAATGTTTCCTTTGTCCTGTGATTAGATGAAATGATGGTGAAAGTCTGGCACGTCAATAATGTTGTTTATAATCATAGATCATTTAAACTTCCACACATTAGAATTCATGAATAATTTTTCTTATGCAGTTATATTAAAAATATTTTGATGGGAAATTCTTATTTCACAATCATCATCTCAATAGATATATGTTACTATCTACAGTTGAAAAAAAAATTGTCAAATACAACCAATGCATATAGGTCACGCAATTTTTGTCCAGCGTCAAGATGAGGGAATCTGAAATTTTATCCATATTTCATCTAACAAGGAAGATTGATAATGAAATTCTGTGCACCAAGCGATAAAAAATGTCTCTAAAGCCTTCCCGCACATTCTCACTCATTCAAGATCCTATACCATGTTGCCAGCCAATAGGAAACTGATCAGTCTATGAAGAGTGACCAGGGCAAAATGCTGCTTTTATCTCCGAGTTACATTAGCACCAAAGTCACTACAGACAAGTGACTTGGTGACTCTATGTCTCGGGTGCCCAATGTCACTACAGACAAACAATATGGCAACTGTTTAAGGTAGTATCTCAAGCAAAAAAGCATTTTATTCACTATGTATAAGTATAAATAATATAGACTCCTAACGCAGACCACTGGCCAATGTTTCCTTTGTCTTGTAGTTAGACGAAATGTTGGTGAAAGTTTGGCATGTCAATAAGGTTGTTCATGATCATTAATCATTGCACACATTAGAATTCATGAATAATTTTTTCTTAATGTCAATGTAGTTATATTCAAAATATTTTGATGCCAAATTCTTGTTTTCAAAATTATCATCTCAATAGATATATGTCAAATACTATCAACGTATAAAGGTCTTACAATTTTTGTCCAGCGTCAAGATGAGGGAATCAGAAATTTTATCCATGTTTCATTTAACAAGGAGGATTGATCATGAAATTCTGTGCATCAAGCGATGAAAAATGTCTCTAAAGCCTTTCCGGACACAAATGGACTCCAATTGAAAGTCATTAAAGATCCTATATCATGTTGCCAGCCAATAGGAAACTGATCAGTCTATGAAGAGTGACCAGGGCAAAATGCTGCTTTTATCTCCGAGTTACATTAGCACCGAAGTCACTACAGACAACTGACTTGGTGACTCTATGTCTCGAATGCCCAACGTCACTACAGACAAACAATATGACGACTATCTCAGGTAGTATCTCAAGCAATAAAGTGTTTTATTCACTATGTATAAGTATGAATAATATAGGCTCCTAATGCAGTAAGCGAGAACCAACGTCCTGATTGTTTTTGGTCATAGATCGGTTGTTGCAGGAATCAAAGATGGATACCCCACAATATTCAATAGAGCCCCATTAAAAAACAGGTCAACACAAGAGACATAGAAGATGGAGCATCAATATCTGGATTCCGTGGTTTTATTATAGGTGAACGTCATCAGAACTATAAATATTTCTATAGCTTTTAAAGGTGAAAATTTTGGCTCTACTGTGACATTAATTTTAATTGTCTGTATCATGTGATACTTATAACCATTGTTCTGATGATAGCTAGTCTAGCTAGCCAAAACATTTAACCTACAATAAAAAGCATGGAATCCAGATGTTGATGCTCCAACTTCTATGTCAAAAGTATTTACTAGTATGTTATATCTTGGAAATTTGATACGCAGAAATCAATAATGTGAAATGTTACATTACATGATGATCTATATCTTTATCCATTTAAGAGTAAATAAAATGGTTAAGGCAAAAAATTAGAGTATGCATTAGGCTAAAATTCTGGTTAAGACTGAAATCAGCCAAAAGGTTAAGCATAACTGTAATGGGTACCTACTTGCCCTGTGACATGAAGTCGTCATACAAGAACCGTTGACGTTTGGAAAGCTGACACATAACCACATGTTCATATTTCTTTGGCATCTGTTTTTCTACATCTGCTTTTAACCTTCGCAACAAAAACGGTCGCAGGACCTAAAACAAAATACAGCAATTCTGTTATTTATTGGAGAATTGAAATGAACATATTTATTATCCACATTTGTCAACAACACATAATGTCCCTGCTTATATGTATTTTTTCCTAAAATCTCAGGTGTTAGCAGGCAATGAATGCAAATAAAAATGCAAGTTCATTAATAGCTGTGGAAATATATTGGTAGACAGGCAGGCCAGCCATTTTTTTCTAAGCTTTTTAAAAAAAAACAAAACAACATATCAGATATATTGTATCTTATTGTAAAAAAACTAACATTTAACCTGAAAACAGGTGGGGTTTTTTTTGTAATATTTTAGACAATCACATTGCAATGCAAGGGAAACCAAAATGTCATCTTTTAATTCACCTTGTGCAAACGTTTGATAAGGCTTTCGTTGTACTCGTGGCTTCCCTCAATCATACCAGTGAGGGGGTTGGCAAACCACTCCTTGAACTCGCGATGCGACTGGAACACATTTGGCATAAGGAAGTGCATTAGGGACCAGAGCTCCATCAGATTGTTCTGAAGAGGTGTCCCAGTTAGTAACAGACGTCGTTGGCTGGAGAAATTCAGCAATGTTTGCCAACGTTGGGACTTGAAATTTTTGATGTTCTGGGCCTTAAAAAACAAGAGAACCCCAACAAATTGAAATATTTTGTTTCTAAGAAGGTCATAGAATGTTTTCTGGAAAGGTAAGAAACACAGAAACACAAATCAACAATGTAAAAAAGGAAGTCACTGTATTGATATGCCCTGCTAGAGGAACTATATTCAGACAAGCCACAACACAAATTGTTGCATGCTTTAAAGATCTAACAATAACTGAGCAATGGCACCAGATATAGACTGCATTACTCAAGATCATTCTCCTTTACCATACTTTTACCTAAGTCACTGAAGCACAATATGTAGGTCACATTCATCATGCCAGACATCGTTCCATACACCCGATGTATTTCTTAATGGATGTAAAAGAACAGTTTACCAGGCAACACTTTTTTTTTCAAATTAATTTTGAAATGATTGAATGACAAAATAAATGTTGGTCAAATTTAATATCCACAACCCATTCTAAAAACATCCCAAACTATCACCCATGCTTGTTATCCTTGTAGCACTTGATAGTTTCTCTTACATTAGCTGACCAGCTCAGTTTAACTGGATGTAAATGAGCCCATTTGAAATATCCTCAACCAAGTTTGATGGAATCATAAAAACACAAATGGTGTGCATTCTTTTGCTTTTGTTGTTATCATAACATTGATGAAAATCCATGAACTTTTCAGCTAGTAAAATAAATCCCTCAGTGTCTCTGATTTTACAATAAGACACAGACTTCTGTGTCCGACACGAAAGTCAGATTTTAGTGTGCGAGACTTACTCAATCCACAGTGCCACAGGAGACGTGTGGGCTATCATTTATCTCATCAACTTTGAGTAGAATTACTTTAAAGTTAGACCAAATACCTTAAAGAGAGAACATTTCAGTAATATGATTTGACACTGAAGTTATGCAAGACAGGAGCTCCCACCTCGTCCAGAATGAAGTACTTCCACTTCTTCCTCCTGAAAGACTGGTGGTCTTGGATTACAAGTTTGTATGAGGTAATACACACATGAAAGGCATTGGTTTTGGTCCAACCCTGCAATCGAAAACATTGAAACTAGACTTGTCCAATATATATTGTTCCACATGTAGTCAGATATTGAACTCTCAGATAAAGAAACAAAACTCTAAATTTTCTGTTTGTAGCAAAGATTTGAAGGTAGAAATGTAAAGGAAGATAAAACAACATGAAATGTATAGCAGTAAGAGGTGAAATTGTCTTTTCTATTCGAACACCTAATTTGAAGCTTATAAAATATACTGTATTAATAGAACAGAATGAAATTTAAAAAAAAAAGGTGGATAATTATTAGGCGACCAAACTATTATTAAACATATACAGTATGTAGCATATCCTGACTACTTATACATATGAGGAACAAGTTTAATGATTTGATCACAGTATCCAAATTCATGTTAGTAAGGCTTTGTTGAAACATTGTTGAACATTATCCGACATGCACAAGTCAATGACATCACAATACAGTAGACATCATTTGCTTTGCCAATTACATCAAAGACACGTTAGAAAATCAGATGAAAGCTATGAAGATGTACCTGTCGCTTCAGCTTCCTCTCCTTCTGATTGCCATAGTAGGTGAGGATCTTGAAGGCCGGGCACCACTTCTTGATCTCCATTTCCCAGTTGAGCATTACACTGGTAGGTACAACAATCAAGTGTGGTCCCCAGATACCTACAACAGTTTGATTCCTTACTGCCAATTCTCAAAGGAAATTAAGAAGAAAAGAAACCTTCCATATTTTTTCAATGAAAAATTTTAAAATGGTCCATTTTTCTTTTTCAGTGAAAAATTTAAGTCATTTTTTGAAAATATAAAGACTCTCATAAATCAACTAAAGACCTCTGAACAAGACACTAAAATCCTTTTCTATAACAAAAAAATTGTACCATAGTGGACTCTACATGGGTCAAACAAAAGATCTTTCACTGGTGATATACCAATATATACGTAATAACTAGTCTACCATAGTTATAATTTCCTTAAAGAACCTCACAACCAAAACACTATTATTGGCATAAGGACATAAAACAAGAGCCAACCTTTATCACAGGCTAAGTGGGCCAGAAGAGCTATAGTCTGAATAGTTTTGCCAAGGCCCATCTCATCAGCAAGGATTCCATTAAGACGTTTCTCATACATAGTGGCCAGCCAGTCTAACCCGACATGCTGGTACTCTCTCAGGGTGTGTTTGATGAGGAAGGGCACCTTCGTCTTCACCTGGGGAAAGACCAACATTAATACTTTCAATAGCTGTGCAAAGGATGACAATGAAAACATCACAAGTGTTCAAATCTAGCTCCAAAAATAAGGAAATTTCTCATTTAAAACCAGCTGCCTGTCACAAAAGCAGCTTGAGATTAATCAACTTTGAACCAAAGATTTTTTAAGCAAATGTATGTGGATAATATCACAACTGGTGAGTTACAACTAGTTATTTCCTTCTACAAGCCAACAACCCATTTTAAAATTTAACGAGACCCTTGACACAAGGATTAAAAGAAAACAATTGTGTGGTTGCAATAATTCTTGTATATCAGAATGAAATAATGGCATTATTCAGTGCTAGATTTTTCGTCTCCTCCAAACTATTTAGTACCTTTAAGGGACACCTAGTAATGTCAATACTGAAATGCCATATGCAACTGTCTCTCTAGTGCAAAACTGCAAAGGGAAGTAATCTAATCGAATCAAGAGAATTGAAATGAAACCAAGTAATAAACTTTGAAGCAAGTTTGAAACTATGATGTGCGAATCTATCACCTGTACGAGTTTAAGATCCACAGTAAAGTGCTGACATTCTGTAACATCTCAATCTTGGTTTCACCTTGAATGATATTTGTAACAGAATGTCAGCCTTTGATAAATCTACCTAAAATATATACAGAAGAAACAGATTCTATCAATATGGTACATCTCGCTTTCAAATGGGCGAGCAAATAACCTAATCAGTCACACAATTTTAAATTTACCCTCGGCATTACTTTTTATCTTTAAAATTAATTTACATCTCAAGACAAAATGACTATCTTACCTCTGTTGTCTGAAGAGTGTAACCCTTTGGCTGCAAACTCTGAGCTTGTGCTGCAATGTCCACCAGCTCCTTACCAGGCCCTTTTTCTTCAGCATCTCCCTGTATACAAAATATCAACCACTTAAATAAGATTAAACAGGTGAAAATAAATAAGCAAATTTCTTAAGGAATATTGATTGACCACTTGAATTTTACATTAAATAGCAAATCCCTCCTCACATCTATTCTTCAATTTTGAATTTCTCCACCCGATCAAAGTCTCAGACTTCTACTTAACTCAACATATCCATATATGGCTCTAGAATGCTACTTATACATTTGTAAAGAGACTGTCAAGATTAAGGACTGACCTGTCCTTGTGTATCCTGACTTGTAGAATCGGAAGTCATAAGGAAGTCCAGCCCAACTTCCTCCTCTTTGTTGTCTGCATTTTCTTCTGTGTCATCCTCATCTTCTCCTTCGGCTTAAAAAGAATATTTGTTAACATCATTGTCAAGTACTACCTAATATCAACTATTTAGTTTTCATATTTGTGTAGTAGATGACCTAGATTGCACCAGGCATCTTGCCATATTATTAGCAATGATCAAGTTTTATCAAATGATTACTTCAAATATCTTGTATTCCTTGAGTACACAAACGAATAGAAATGGAAGCATATCTTCCTAGAACTATTGGATACCTACCCTCTGACTCCTCTTCCTCTTCGCTGTCATCCTCATCGTCATCATCATCGCTGTCATCTTCAGTTCCTGACTCACTTTCTGGGAGCTCAAAATCACTGTCGTACGCTCCAGCATACTTCTTGTAAAGTTCTTCCATGTCCATATCACCTACCATGTAAAGATTAACATTACACTATTTCCTGATTAACCTCTACAAAATGAGGAGCCCACAAAATATCACTTTTTAAAACCACCAAATTTGAGTGCCACTAAAAAATATTTGATACATCAGTATGGTTCTATCTCATAATACAAATTCATTTAGGGGAACTTTCAGTAAAACATCCATCTGATTGAGAGATTCCATAAAGTCCATTACAAAACCTGGTGAAAATGCAGTTTAATTTACCATATTGAACAATTTGAATTAATTCCTCCTGTTGATATTCCAGAAGTCTCTTATGGGGCAGATAATCTGATCAAAAGGACTATTATTTCACTATTCAAAATTGTAAAAAATAAATCATCTCAATTTCATGGTCTGGCCCTAGAATCAAGTATCAATCAAACCAAAGTCAAAATACTGTTATGACTTCACAAATCACCAATGCTGTCATGAAAAATAAGTTGTATGTGATTGGTTAAGCAAAAACTGACGATTTAAGGTTGCATCACAACCCCCAGGCATGGCTTTCCATGTAAATGTCCAACCAACTGACCTTCATTCTGTAGATCTTCCAGCTCCTTGCTATAGTCAATTTTCTTGTCTAGTTTCTCCTGTTCCTCAATGGTTTCTTCTACATCCACTTCCTCTTCCTCACTTGCATTAAACTCATCATCCTGTCAACAATCAACAATTAGACTTTGAATGTTAAGTTTAAGTAAATACCATAATACTTCAAACCAATAACCAACCAATGTATAAAGAAATAAAATGTTTCCTACCTCAGGTAAATCTAATTGCACTGACAGCAATAAATGTGTTTTAAGTAGGAATTTATCTCCCCTGGATTTGTGTTCTCTTGGTAAAAAATGAAGATTTCACAAAGAGTTGTGAGCTCAGGGTTTTATAGCATTAAGTGATAATCTTTATAACAACTGTAACAAATTTAATCAACTTGTGTGTTGCAAAATAGCTATTGTCTCCTTTACCCAGTCACTAGGTTATGGCTGAAGTTTTCAATTTTCAGTTAAATTTTGCAATACATCTTCCTTTTGCAAAGTTATATATCACTATATGATCAAAGTTATCTCTTTTAATTCTTCAAGTTTAATTCATTTCAGTTTGAAAAAGTCTGAAAAATTAAACCTTTTCATTTCTACAATTAGCAAAATGATTTCAAAAGTCCCCTAAAAACAGTTTATAAAACTCTTGATTGAAAAGTATGGGGGCCATCTTTGTTCAAACTGCAAATAATTAAGTACTTTCAATATATCATTAGGATTTTCCATCCTCGTTACTCCATGGGTTATGCACACTATTGCTCTCTGCACCCCTGGAACAACTCATGGCGAAATTGAAGGTTCTATGTGGGGAACCTCTTGAATTAAAGAAGACAAGTTTGACCATTTGAAGTACATCAAACAAATCTGGCAGTAAAATAATGGTTGGTTGTTCCGACTTTTGCATATGGTCTTACTCCTTTGTTATCTTTGAAGTAACATATGTGTCTGTGATTGGTCAGTTTTTTTTCTCCTGAAACTCGGTCTAGACCAATCAAATTACTTTGCTTGTGCCTTCAGTTTTGCCAGGACATGAGTCTCAATGTGTTGTTTCCTACCTCAGGTAAATCTAATTGCACAAAAACAGCAATAAATGTGTTTTAAGTAGGAATTTATCTCCCCTGGATTTGTGTTCTCTTGGTGATCATTGAAGATTTCACAAAGAGTTGTGAGCTCAGGGTTTTATAGCATTAAGTGATAATCTTTATAACAACTGTAACAAATTTAATCAACATGTGTGTTGCAAAATAGCTATTGTGTCCTTTACCCAGACACTAGGTTATATAGCTGAATTTTTTAAATTTTCAGTTAAATTACGCAATACATCTTCCTTTTGCAAAGTTATATATCGCTGTATGATCAATGTTATCTCTTTTAATTCTTCAAGTTTAATTCATTTCAGTTTGAAAAAGTCTGAAAAATTAAACCTTTTCATTTCTACATTTAGCAAAATGATTGCAAAAATCCCCTAAAAACAGTTTATAAAACTTGATTAGGATTTACCATCCTCGTTACTCCATGGGTTATGCACACTATTGCTCTCTGCACCCCTGGAACAACTCATGGCAAAACTTAAGGTTCTATGTGGGGAACCTCTTGAATTAAAGAAGACAAATTTGACCATTTGAAGTACATCAAACAAATCTGGCAGTAAAATAATGGTTGGTTGTTCCGACTTTTGCATATGGTCTTACTCCTTTGTAATCTTTGAAGTAACATATGTGTCTGTGATTGGTCAGTTTTTTTTCTACTGAAACCCAGTCTAGACCAATCAAATTACTTTGCTTGTGCCTTCAGTTTTGCCAGGACATGAGTCTCAATGTGTTGTTTCCTACCTCAGGTAAATCTAATTGCACAAAAACAGCAATAAATGTGTTTTAAGTAGGAATTTATCTCCCCTGGATTTGTGTTCTCTTGGTGATCATTGAAGATTTCACAAAGAGTTGTGAGCTCAGGGTTTTATAGCATTAAGTGATAATCTTTATAACAACTGTAACAAATTTAATCAACATGTGTGTTGCAAAATAGCTAGTGTCCTTTACCCAGCCACTTGGTAATATGGCTGAATTATACAACTTCCATTAAAATTTCACCAAGTGTTGTCGGCTCAGGGTTATACAGCATTAAGTGATTTAATGATTATCTTTATAACAATTGTAAAACTAATTCTATCAATTTGTCTTAATATCTTTGATTAAATAAGAATCAAAACACATATTGGGTCTGAATGAGGGAAAAAAAAAGAGAACCCTAAGCTTTTCCATATCTGTCTGGGGAATCACGCCTTAGTTATACTATAAATATATTTGACATTCCAAAGACATGCTAAATATACTGTAACAAGACCCCAGTTGTTCAAAGCCTGGTTAGAGTTAACCAGCAGTTAGCTAAAATCTAAATTATTGTCACTGAAAAATGAAAAAAAAAACCCTTGTTCAAAAATATCAATCTCACCTGTCTGAACAAATTTACACCAATTTTAAAGAATGTTCCCATTTTTGTTTAATTCATATTTGAAAATTTGCCTTTACCACTGAATAACTCCCATTTTTTTGCATCTTTATTTTGAAATTCTCTTTAGTTACAGAGATACCAACATCTCCGATTTGGGTGGAGCAGTTCTAAATTTTCCACTCACAATCCGCTTATTTATCATTATTATTTTAAAATACCCAAAAAATAATGTTATTGTAATTTCACAGCTTTCTATTCACCAAAATTGGTAGTTAATGTTCATATTCACTTACATGCTCAAAATTATGCAATTTAAGCATCAAATAAGCATACTTGTGATCATGACAATGATACTTTGGCATTTCAAGCAAAACATGATTGTACAATCTTTCAACATTTTTTGTCTTTAAACTGTAGATAGAATATTGATACTGAAGTAAATATCCAGAGTTTCCCTTTCAAAAATAAAAATGTTCAATGGTACTCCCCCTTAAAAAATGATACTTTGTAAAGTTCCTCCAAATATTTTAGTTTCCAATTGTAAGTAGAAGCATACAAAGGAAACTTCTGCATAATTGAGGTTCTACATCGAAGGATTCCAGGGCTCTCGATTTGCCAGATTTGGGGCCCAATGCAAAATGGTATCTTTTTTTCCCAATTTAGACCCGAAGTTTTCCCAATTCTAAGGAAAACACCATTATTTTTCCCAATTCGAAGGGCCCCGGGCCCCAGTCCCAAAATTGGGTGTGAGAGCCCTGGAGTCTCCTTAATAATTTAAAATTCAGTTTTTATGAAGACTGTAGAGCAAATGATACTCTGAATTGCGGGGACCCCTTCACTTTCATTTAGTGTACCTTGTCCTTTTTATCTCCTTCATCATCAGCCTCATCCTCTGTATCCTGAGTAAGACTAGCTGTCCCAGACAATACCTCCTGGGGAAGTGTTTTTAACAGCTCTTCTAAGGGAACCTCCCCTTCCTTCTGTAGTGCATCTAACTCTGCCTGGGTTGAGGTCTGTAACCAAATAAGAAGTGTCATCAACAATAAACATCTAGTATTCCACGACATAAGATTCAACAAATTACTTCAGGGATAGAGGAATGCGAGAAATGCTAGTACATCACCTACTATAGAGCAAATATTGATGTCGCAGATAAAGCATGGTGAATGGAAATTAATTCTTTGCATATTTTTCAATTATAACAACTTTTGATGTTTTAATATTTGTACCATCTCATCAACTCGATTCCAAATTTTGGACTCTCAAAAGTTTTACTATTTGCTTAACTACTGCGTTCTGCTTTATTGTGTACGTTACCTCATCCATATCTGCTTCTGCTTTTTCTATTGTTTCCTCATCATCAGATTCATCAGCTTCAGGTTCAAACTCATCTAAATAACGAAAAAGCAATATAATCAAACATCCCTACAGAGAATTATTTTAAACACAGCATAACCTCTCTGAAGATTTTATATGGAAAGAAGTCTACTCAACAAATTTCATATTTGTTCAATGACAAACTGAAATACAACTTAAATTGTGTAATGTTTTAATCCAAGTATTTCTAACAACAACTGGTTACATAAATAAGTGATCTTAATTCTATATTAAATTTTCATCATATAAACATTTTAGCCAGAGGCAATCCCTGAAGATACCTACGATCACCGCAATCACTTGAGTGCTCAGGAGTAGTGGCACATGACCCCCCAGATGATCCCGTTCTGCCATCTTTCTTAAGGCCTTCAGTAAGCCAGGTTGAATATTTTTCTGTTTGATCCACAATAAAATTCAGGTGTAGATCTAAAGCTTTCTTTCTTTTTTCTTCATTTCTTGTCTGTTGTTTATATTGCACAACCTGTAAGATGACATTAAGGTTAAATCTAATAGCTTGAGCCATTTTTGTGTATGTTTCACCAGAGTTGTTCATTTATGAAGTAAGGACAGATCTGCAGAACATCCTGATGAACCTCAACTAAGACTTTCAAGCCAACATTAATATTTGAAGGTCTCTCCCAGTTTGCCAGAAATGTTACAAATTAAGTGCCAACAAAGTGTTTTGTCTACATACATGAATGGTCCCAGACATCCAAACTAAGCTGTCTGACATTCATTCCATATTCAATATTTTCAACACCATATAAACTCATTATTTTTGGGAAATACAGAATTTGCATTGTTTTTTCATTAGATTGTCTGAAATTTTCAGACCTCTTCAGCTATCAAAACTCTATCAAATACATCTTTTCCACCTGTTCAAAATTCTAGGACTTGTTCAGGTATTAAATTTTTTTTTCAAACTCACTTTTTCCACATTTGTCCAGAACTCTCGGACCTGTTTGGCTATCTGTCCAGCTATTCTTTTTAGTTTCTGTGCCTCCTCCTTCTCTGCTCTGATCTCTTTCTGCTCAAGGTCCTGGAAATACTTGGACACCATCTTTGCCACCTGGTTATACAAAAATATAAGTTTAGAATTACTTCAATATTAGCAATATTGTGTAAAATAAATCAACTTTTTTCTACTTCTGCAGTAAATTTTTCTACCTTTCTTCTACTTAGCAATCTAAAGAATCATTGACTTGATCAGAAACTGTAGCAAGCCAATAGGAAACTGATCAGTCTATAAAGAGAGTGATCAGGGCAAAATGCTGCTTTTATATCCGAGTTACATTAGCACCAAAGTCACTACAGACAAGTGACTAGGTGACTCTATGTCTCGACCTCATAATCTCTACACTTTTAAAACAAAATAACTTTAATGTCTATTCCTACATATCCATCCCCTATGATTAAAACATCCCTGTTTTTTTATTAACATTATCTTGCTATGGTTGTTTTTGTATCTATAAATGCTTGGCCAAGTTTCAGAGTAAAATAGGGTTATTATATGTTAAAGTTATTCCAGCTGAACATCTACCTGACTTCAAAACAAACATGTCTATCCATGCTTCAATTTCCTGCCTCATATTTCTATTCAAATTATAAATCAAAATTCTGGCAGTCCTGGGGTGAAATAGATGTTGAAATGTAATAACCTTTGTAAACCTGTTCAGAAGAATATATCTGATTCATAGATGTGGTAGTACAATGATCCTAATATATTCAGGTTCACGATCTTTTTAATCATAACATTAATGGTTCATAGCAAATTAAGCCAATATCCCTGCAATGGTATAGTCTACATCTGGAAGCGCCTTCCAGCAATTCATGCACACCTTTCGTGCAGCAGCCTTTTTCCACTTGCGTTCCTGTTGAAAGTCTGCTGCCAACCATTGCATCTCCTCTAGTAGGTAGTCCCAGTGGCTTTTGTTTCGTGGTGGCTCTTGTACCTTTGGCAGCCGTCGTGAAGACCACAGTCCTTCCTTACGAAGTTCTGCTACACGCTGCATCACCTGTGCCTCCTGGTTAAGAAATTACATCAATGACAAAACTCATGAATGCTTCTGTAATTGCAATTAAACAAACATCACATTTTGTGGGCTACTGATGTCTCAATTTCCATTGCCACTAATGGTATCAGTTCACCATACATGGAAGCAGAATTGTGATTGATCTCCCACACTACAAACGGTGTACAGCAAGTGACCAGACAAACTAGACCTTACTGATGTCAGAGTGGTATTCAGTGCTCCAAATAAGCTGCATATTAACATAGTTTACACCTCAAAATTGATGGAATATGCATTGATAATAAAATGATATGTACACATTACAGAGGCACATTTTCATTTCCCCATTCATGTTAACATCTGTTCACTTTACCAAATACCCTTTCAAATTTTGTATGATCATAATTGCCAAAATGCCTAATATCAAGGACTTTCCCATTCTAGACCCAAAAACTTTTAATGACTCTTGATTATGTTTCAATCTTAAGTCGGCGATTGCCACGACAGGTTGTGCAAACAGTTTACCTTAGGGGCTTTATAAATTTTACAGCTTTCTAACATTAAAGCACTGGCGAGTAAAAACATTGAATAAATAAGTAACAACCATTTTGAATTTGTTTCATTTATCAGATTAAGAAATATCACAAGTCAACAAAAGGTAGTTCTATATCATGCTTGAAAATAAATATACTAGCATAGAATGAACAAAATAATGTTTTACCCCTGAAGTTGGAAAAGTGAAAGTATTTTATCCATTGATTAAAATTGAAACCTGGGTATTCTTTAATGCCAGTTCAAATAACATGAAAGGGTTTTCCAGCATTGAAAATCACATCACAAGTAAAGCTTAAATGAAGATCATATAATAAAACCAAAAATACTGGAAATTTGAAATCCTAACACAATCCTACCTGTTTTGCCCTTTCCACTATGGCCTCCTGTGAGCCGATTGAACCATCGTAGATGTTGGATATTGTGTGCTGGCGTGTGTGAAGGCGGGCTGTTCCACCAGGTGAGGTAGGGGGAGATTTGGGCATGCGCATTGGCTGACTTGATCTGTTCAGGAAACAGAGAACATATTCTTTTAAATGTTTTACCAAGAAATTAAAATCGTTCCCATGAAATATTACAATGCTGATAATATATTTTAATTTTTCTATGAGACCTTGTTCTTGTTAAATTCGATTGCTGGCAAAAGATGCCCAATATCAATACAAAAATTAGTTGACTATTTGAGACCCAGTAGTCTTTTTAAAATCATTGCAGACTGTAATTACCTTAAATGCTAGAAAGAATTTGTTAATACTGATGGTATTTTGTTGCCAGCAATTTGGTGACCGATCACTCTACAAAAGAGCACCGGCGCATAGAGCTGCAGTCTATCTCCGAGTTACATTAGCACCAACGACACCATATGGGAGTGACCAGGTGACTCTATGTCTCGATAACAAAGCTCTCATCCAATAGCAAATGCACAAAATGCTGTGTATTCAGACAGTTTACATGGACCAACATATTAAAGCAGAACATAAATGCACACCATAGGAAAGTCTAATGGTGGGCCAAGACAGTTTCATCACATCTCGTAATGTAATAGTTTAGTTGTCTAATGGATATAGCGCAGGATATGCAGGACAATCAGAGACTTTTTTTCTGATATCTGATATGTATACTTAGACTTGTCTGGGATAAGGCACAAAATTAAATTTTCAAAAAATTCATTCAGTCATTATTTGATGCAAGATGCTAGATATTTCTCAGAGTATTAATTGTGACCAGACTGTTGTTTTATGTTAAGTGTATTCTTCATTTACCATACAAACAATGTTTTCTAATGAAGAGACTCATAACTTGACCCAGCCAAGTATCTATACTGCTCGGCAAAAATAATCCTCTGAAAATTAATTTTATCTTTCTTGGATCCACATAAATTGAACAAAAACTCTTGAATCATAACTGTAACACTTACGTTGTTGTGGTAAATGTGGCCTTGGTTGTGTGTGTAGTGTGCACAACAGGTGTCTTTGGATCTGCAGCCTTTGACATCTGACTTTGTAGTTGTGGCATAGACACTGTTGCCACTGTGGATGTTGTTAGGGTTGTCGTGCTGTTGGTGGTTGTACTAGCAGCTGTTTTCTGGCTTGGTGCTAAATATCAGAAAGTAGATATTTAACACCCAATATTCCAGGTTTCTTTACACAATTATCAACTTCAGTAAAAGTTAATTATATTTTTCCAAATCAAAAAGCTTACTCAGTCAGAAGAGAACAAAAAAAGACAAAATAACATGGCAACAAGCTCATGTTAAGTAATATGCCTACCCAGGTATACTGGTTATCCAAATTCACAACCAATGCTGTGTATTGTGATAAGACCTGATTTTTTGGAGGGTTTTTAATAGGGGGGGGATGGGGTATTGCAGGAAAAATATGTCTTCCTACTTTCACTATTCTTCTGTAATAAAACCAAACATTCTGGTTGAAATGAAAAGTAGTTATTAAAGATTTATTTTCAACCAGACTGCTTTGACAATTGTCTTTTATAAGTTATTTCAATAAAAATTAGTCCTGCAAACAAAGAGGAAAGAATTACAAGTAAAAACTTTGTAGATACAACTAGATTCTGTACAAAATCAATATAAATAGACATATATATATACACAAAGTGCCTTGTAGGTAACTAGCAACAAGCTCAATGATTTTTACAGTGTTATCGAAAATGAGGAATGAAAATCCTTTTGAAATGATATAAAAGCTGGCTCAGACTGTAGCATGGGACTGTGACTCATTATCTAGAGGTGCAATCAAAAAGTTGTCACAAGAAAAAAATTTCCATACAGAGGAAACATGTCAGTTTCCTAACAAATCATTTAAGTACTATTCTTTATAAGATTTAAATTGAAACACCTAAGAATTTTCTAACTTAAGAATCTAATTTGACTTTTGTACAATTTGTTTACACCTCTAATGACTACCAACCTATAACGCAAAAGAGAATGCTGAAACGACACTGTTAACTGGAAATTATTACCAAAGATTACACGTTCCATCAACTCACTTCCATTTTTGAAAAAGAGGATAAATTCAATGATTATTTGTTCTTAAGCATTCCTTCATACGAACCCATCATTTCAATGACAACAATCAACAAATTGGTATATGTCTAACCTATCTGAGTACAAACAGATTAGCAAGACAATGGATTTTACATTTAGAGGACTGTAATGTATAAGTGAGATGAGGGTTCTGTATGGAAGCATGCCACAGAACAAGACCTCAAACACAGTTCAGTACTAAGTCCCATGCTAGCTATTGTTCCAATCTCATTCCACCATGCTCTGTTGCAAGAAGATCATGAACAGAAACCTAGATCAAATTGGAAACATTTTATTTTGACAAGTCTAGCGTTTCATTAAATTCAGAAATATTTTCCTGCAAAGTATTGACCTGTTATTGAACTAATGAAAGGTAAATATCAAATTAATTGACTTCGTTATTACACTTCATTTGGTCAGTGCACTACAACATTTATGATGGAATGAATGATATTATAAATGCAATTAACGAACCATCTTCACAGTAACCATAACCACTGGATGCCTTGATCCAACCAGGCATTTTCTTTTTATGAGGGATTTTCTTTTAATTACTGTTCAAGATTTTCCATAAAATCTGTGTGGATCTGGAAAGTCTTTAGAATGCAACAGGAAGTTTACAGGATGTATACAAAATTTTGCATATGGAAATATCAACTGCCTTTAAAAAGCCCTGCCCAGTTGAATCAAACCAGCCAAAGTTAAAAAGCTATAGCTATTGTGGAGGTGGCTGAACCCCAACTTAATGGTCGGGTGGTTCTATACAAACTGGTGAGCACCTGTTTGCGTTGGCCCCGTGTGAGGCTGTGCCGGCACCACTGTGGACTGTGAGGATGAGGAAGAGGAAGAGGAGATGGGAGAAGTGTGTGGCACGGAGGACACACTGGAGGACGAGGAGCAAGCCAGAGCCGGCTGTACATGGCCAAACACCATACCATGCCGACCTCCCGGCCGCCGAGTCTCAAAACCTGCAGCACCAAAATACACCACCTCATTCACTAACTTTGAGAAATGTAACATGGGTTTATATTGGTGCCTTAGTTAATGTACCAAGAGACTAAAGTAATGTTAAGTCACTTTCATACAAATTTTTCAATTAATTATATTATTTTCATATTAATAAATTACCTGATTTACTGTAACAAGGGATTAGATTAATTATATCAATAATTTACCTGAACTACTGTGACAATTTACTGTATCAAGGGACTAGTAAATTACCTGACTTGCTGTAACATGGGAATGGTGTAATTATCATTTCAATAATTTACCTGAATTATCATATCAATCAATTACCTGAATTACTGTGGCAATTTACTGTAACAAGGGATTAGTTTAATTGTATCAATCAAATATTGATTTACTGTTACAAGGGACTAGCATAATTATCATTTATGAAAATCAGAGTAGTCTTGGCTTTAAATTAAATTTGCAAGCGCCACAACTAAAAATGTGCTAAAATGATAAATTATTCACACATGACAAATATTAATGTATCAAAAGCATAGGCTATACGTTCAACAAGGCGGCCAATATAAACTGCAAATTGAAGACAATCTTCTGGTGGTCTTCTTCACATATCAGATAATAGATATGAATTCTCAAAACTGTGGCTGTTATATTTATATGGACACATTGAATGCTATACACCTTAAATGTGCTACAGTAAATTAGCTAGACCCTTGATACAGTAAAAGTTGGTGGATTTGTAATATATAGTTCATCTTCATTCACTACTGCACATTATGAAATGACCTTTGACTCAATCATATATCACTTTCAGAAAAATAAACATAGTCTGTCCAGAAATTACAAGCAAACTTCATTCCTTAAAAGAATGCACACATTTTATAAACCAAAGCAGACTAACTTTTTGTTTGTTTTTAATTCATTTATATTACAATAATAGCATATTTAGCACTTTGTTAACATAGCAATCTTGAAATACATCTACCGCAAATATAGCTATACTTGATTGATGCAAAGCCACAACACCCATTCAGGTTACACACCAATATTGTATTTTTGTAAGCCCCCAGGCTAAATCCACACCCCCTAGTACATGTACTGATTGTAGATTATTGATAGTAAAGGCTAAAGAAACAAGAACCACATAATTAACTAAAGATGATGACAGGCAGGGTAATAAGAAAGGTTTGGGACAACAGTCTACTTGCTACAATCCACAGTGAGCCGAGCACAGGCAAAAATAAAAAAAGTAAAATGAACAGAAGGCACAGTGTGTATATATAATCATTTGAAGCAGACAACATCAAATCACAAGGCCTGTACAGCAAAAATGTAAACAGAAGATTTAATTTGGTGAATGTTAATTACTTATGTTCTCCAATAAAACAAATTACCAATCAAGTTTAAGTTAAGAATAAATCAATTCATCTTATACATAAAAATCTATTTTTATCATAAAATTAATCACTCATCTTATAGACATTTTGAAAATATTGGAAACACTTCTGTCATCCTTATTGAATCAGCCCCTTGTGAATCAGAAATTATAGTCATAGATCTATCATCTTTCCCAAACCTAGTATCAGGTTTTCATCTCTATCAATTCATTTTTTACTTTCCACTCTAAACTTAGATACTAAGTTAGAGTCACTAAGAATTGATAATACATTGGCCTTGATATGTCATCCATTATGCAATAAAATAGAAAATGGTGACTGTTAGTCAGATGAAATAAAAAAAATAAAGACAATTGATAATATGATGTGAAATAAGTACAAGGATGTAAGTAAAAATAACACAAAATAAATATGCAGCAAAATATCCATGAAAATTCTAACAATACAATATCATCTAAAAAAAGTCATCAGTTGTGTATGTTTTTCAGCTAGCAACATTTCAAGCACTGAATCATGAAAGATAACGTCATCATTGTGATATGAAGCTATATAAATCTTGGAAAAAAATAAGTCATTCTGCTTTCAATCACATTGGCCGATAAGCTATTTTGCTATGCAAGCATAAGCTAACCAATTATTTCTTTGGTAAAAACGATAGCACATACAATCAGTCATAGTTTACAAACCTCAACAACAATTGCTGTCATTTATCAATGAATATTGACAAATTAATGTTCCAGTCTAACTTATAATCATTTCTATATCAAAACACCAAATGCATAAAGGTGAAAATGACAAACACAATCTATCAAAGTATCTTGGTAAAAAAAGTGAAATTAATCTGAAATAACATATGGGAAAATCACTTTAATACTGCCAAATACACAAACAAAGCCTCTTTGCCCTAGTCTTGCCAAGTACTTTTAAACATGCAAATACTATGTCGATTTATTACATAAAAAAAACTGGTGTGGTATAGTTATATGTCCTTTTGATATTTTGTGAAATTCTGTTTGGATGCTTCCCATCTATAATTGGTGTAGATACTAAATTGTAGGTTTTTAAGTGTTATATAAACATGCATTACTGAAGCTTGATCATGCAGAAAAATATCTAGACAAATAATAAGAGATATCTGATCACAAGTGTCAGCCAACACAGAGACAAGATCTAGATATCAGTTCACAAGAGATCATATGCTTCAGCTGAATCACAGATTTAAAAACCTGTGACTTTAAACAGAAGTCAAATCTCAGTTGGTGTCCCTCAGCGAAGACATACTGGCGTTTTAAAATCATATTTTGAAATTCAAAATATTAAACCTACACTGGTAAAGATATGAGACATCAAATGGAGGTGCAGCAAGCAAAGGTTTAGCAGCAAATTTAATTTTGTTTTAGTTTTTATTTACTTATTGCATCTTTTAAGCCTTAATCTAGCAACAAAGCCATTAAATTAAGATTACAGCTGAACTCATTTGATATCACATTAAAAACCATTGAATAATCCAGTTAACACTTTTCTTGAATACAGTTTCACCCTTCCATTATACAAGTTAATCTTGGTCCATTAGTGTCAAATGTTCTTCTCGAAGCCTAACAATTAGTGTACAAGCCATGCCACAAAAGCCAACACCTTACCTTGCTGATTCAGGGCAGCCACTGATGGTGGTAGTGTGGTGGAGATGGCAACTGGTGTTGCCAGGGGAACATTACTTCCACTGCATGTAATTACCTTCACCTAAAATAGAACCAATCTTGTATAACCTTAGTGGAGTTGTTATGACCACTCTTATTTTACAAAGCAAATAAACATTATTATGGAAACCAAAAATGAAGAAGTTCACTTTGGTAAACGGATAGTTTCTGTCAAGAAAAGAAGGGAAGGGTTGCCATCATATCCCATTTTCCTATTACTGACAATATCTAAGATCTAACAAGTTTATAAGAGGGGGAAATCATTTGGTAAAAGAAGTACTTGTCAACAATTTCTTAAGACACAGTTGTTACAAATCAGTAATGCATTTGAAGTTATTTTTCTAATGGAAATTTGCTCTTCAAGCACTTATATCAACAAGAGATCCCAGAGGATTCTTGGCGTCCACCATTGTTTGATCTTTATATGCTCTCTGAAAGTTGAATATTTTCCATTCTTTTTGCTCTTAATGATAAGACATTTGAGAATTCCTTTGCAGAAATAGCAATGACAACCTAAACTAGGCAAAATCCAAGATGGCTGCCTGTCAGCCATTTCGTTTTTTCTGATCAGTCCCAAAATCTAATGGGCACAGGGTAATACACATATGACATTTAGGATAAAGATCCATCCAGTACAGTATTCAAGAAATAGCGATAACACTTTCAAGTCAAAATCCAAGATGGCCGTCTGTCCTCCATTTTGTATTTCTCATCAGTCCCAAAATTAGACGGCCACAACTAGGGACCAAAAGGAACCTATCTATGAAATTTGAGGAAGATCTACACAGTAGTTCTTAAGAAATAGAGATAACAAACTTTAAAAGTTAAAATTCAAGATATATGCCCGTCAGCCATTTTGTTTTTCTGATCAGTCCCAAAATCAAACGGGCACAACTAGGGACCAAGGGAAAACCTACATATGCAATTTGAGAAAGATCCATCCAGTACTTCTCAAGAAATAGTGATAACAAAAATGGTTTACTGACAGATGGACAACAGACCATGGATGCAGAGCGATTTAAATAGCCCTGGGCTAAAAATACTGATGAACATTGAACCTCATTATTGATCTTTCTCTCCTGTCCATGATCATCTTCCTCATCGCTGTCTAGGTTTCCAGACTTCAAAAAGTGTACAAGCTGAGGTGTGGGTCGCTTCTTCCATGTATGATAGTCCATCATATTACCACTATTTTGGAGGAAAAACAGTTCAGTCAGGTACTCAATGTAATTCTCTTTGATCTCAATCATCTCTCGGTGTTTTTGGTCAAGAATAAGTTTCCTGTTGTTGGCAATTTCTACTGTAGCTGGTGCCTTCTCCTCAACCTTTACTTTCTTCTTTGGAGAGGGCCCCATAGCCGACTGGTTAGCTAGTGCTGTGAGGTTGGGAAATGTGTGTGTGAGGCCAAGTGGAGTTATGCTGGGTTTGGTTTCCTGAAGAACTTTCCCAACCATGGTTAGGTTTGTCGCAGAAGTTGGCGCTGTAACGCCTGCTCCAACAATAGTCTTTGGAGTTTGTTGTTGTCCGGTTGGTTGAATGCTCATATTTAGAGATGGTTGCTGAAGGTTGGCTCGAGGGGTTGGTGGGGTCCCCCGTGAAGGGCTTAGACCATGATGATGCACTGTGGCTCCGCTGGCGCTTAAGGTCCCCACCCCCGGGGCCCCGCTGGGTGTGGTCGCCGTCACCAGGGTCAGTGTTGGTGGAATTTGCAACTCGGGTCCTGAGGGAGTGGCACCTGCCTGTCTGATCAGGGCAGTGGTGGCACCACCTGCAAACGGTCCAGTTACTGGTCTGGAGACGCCAGGGCTGATCACACCAACTATACCTAATAACAGACATGTTATTATGTGTTATCTACGGCAATTCAAACTCACAACGAGTTAACAATGATATTGTTACAAAATATATGACAAATTCAAACTCAATTCTAATAAAAATGGAGATGGCTTAATATAAGATTTATAATCTTGTTGCCAGATCCATTTTCAATTTTATAATTTGTGTATGTGTATGTTGTAAATGAAAATCTGAAAATAAAATATTGTTTAAACCAAAAATGAAAGGTAGGGTTAAGTTTGGTGTATCAATTTAGCATAATTTAAATAGTGACTAGGAACTTCAGTGCTAACCATTTGCTATTAGTAAAATGCTGAACTCGGGTAAATTATTTTCTGCATTTTTACTATGACTTTCAGTTCTTATCAAGGCTCCAAGTAATTAATTTGTTCCCAATAGTAACATCATCAAGGTTACTACTGGAAATTTATGTTGGGTCAGAGTCACGGCTCAAAGGTCTTTAAATCCCCTTCAGCTTTGGTAACCAACCCATTTTGTT